GTCAATGGCTGCGATAAAGGCAAGCCTCGCAATCTTGGAGAAGAGACTCCAGAAGCGATCGAAGAGCAAGTCGCACACTTCGCATAAGTCGCATCACAATTCGCACTAAGGGCATCCAAGAAATTCCGATCCTGGAGAGAGTGGTAACATCGCATGTCGAGCGGGGGAACTCTAGAAATCATTCGTTGCAGTCGCTCAACAGTTCGCAGAAGGAGTCGCGAACTGTTCCTTCTGGTTCGCAGTCGCGAAAGGTTTTGCGCGAAAAAGTGGTGAAGATCGCGGAAAAGATTGAGCGCGGAAAAGTGGAGAAGGAGAAGAGCTCAAACCTGGAGAGGGAGAAGCCCTCAAACCTGGAGAAGGGGAAGCCCACGCTGCGACAACAACGTCGTCGGCAAGGATGGTCGAGGACTGTGCGTCGCTGCTTGAATTCGAAAAGCAAATATCTGTTTCAGTCACAAGATACTTCTTCCGGTCCTCTGGTTTTGACTCAAGCAGACAAACCCAATTCGAAATCTCTATCTTAATTTCCAGAGTCGCAGCAGGGGTTGGCTATTCAGCAGCATACCTATGGAGTAGAGGAATGCAATGATAAACCCTCAGTTAATCTTGAACCTGAAGATGGAGCAGTTGTTGGATTTCTCAGACGTAAGATTTTTTACAAGTACGATCTTGACCAGTCAGACCTTGAAACCAATAGGTTCAAGCTTCTTCAGGTATGCGATATTTCTTCTCATCTTGCAAAGAAGAGGAACTGGCCAAATGTCTGCAAGACTGAAATGATGTATCGCCAGTCATCAAACATTGTGTTGGAAGGATTGAACAACGTTTCTATTGTTGATTTGCTTCTCCAACCATGTCCTTTGAAACTGGATTACTTAAAATCAAGGACATATTTTCAAGAAAGTCATGCCTGGAACAAAAGAGGTCTGGTCCAGTGGTTCTTGAGGACCGGGTTCATCTTTTTTCTTTGGAATCATATGCCATTATTCAAATTGGGGTAGTGATTTCACATGGAGGTCCTCTAAATTGGATGGAGGGTGTGAGCAGAGGAAGGCTTGCTATTGCTGATAAAGGGGCTGAAGCAGCAGTGCCTAATCAGAAATTGACTGCTGAGAAGCACTCTTTCACTATGTTTCAAGCAATTTTGAAACCCAAGATTGAAGAGGGACTTTCTGCCCATTATAATTCAAGGGATCATCAATACTATTCCCCTGTTGTTTCCTTTGTTCTTGTGAATCTGAATGGAAAGGATCCAAGTACCCTTGACTTCCCTACCAACTCGTGGGTCAGCCTCTTAACCGGAGAACTCAGAATTACAGATTCTTTAAATGAGAAAACAGTGGAAAATTTTGTGGAACAACATATTGAAGCAAATGAAAAGGTGAAATTAGAACAGGCTTGGAAAATGGCCATATCGTTTACTGGTGATGGATCTGTCTACCTACAAGAAAACCAACTTTGGAAGTTTTACATGGGTGATAGGCTTTCCTGTTCCTTAGTTAGGAGAATTGCAGCTGGAATAATGTATATCCTTACATGCCTGCTAAAACCTTTGAGGCCTTCCTTCCAAATGAGGTAGGCACAGAATTGAAAGAGGGTGAGGTTGAAAGGTACATAAAGGAGTTTGCATCCAGTACAGTATTAGATTCAGAACTTAGAAATCATGAGGAGCTGCAGAAAAGTGAAGAAATAATTTTTGATGTGGAGTGCGGGAAGGTGACTGAACCAAATGAAGATTCACTTTCTGCTGCTGAAAGTTCTGTGATTTTAAAAGATCTCGTACTGAAGTCCCTTGTCCATTAACCAGTTAGATATTGGGAAGGAAGAGGAACAAGGAAGAGGAAGAGGAAGCAGAAGATTTTGGTTGTTTCCTATCACCCACCTTGAGGGCAAGGTGGATGTTTATGGGGGAGTAATGTGTTAAGGGCAGACGTACAAGATCTCGTCCAAGGACGAGAACGAGAGACTGGCAGGGAACGAGAACTTCGAAAATTCTGAAATTTGGAATCTATGATGAATGTATTAACTGGAAGAATTAAAAGATAGGCTCAGTGGAATTAATCTGATCTTGGAAGTATTCCAGAGATCCAGAAATTAATTCTCCAAAGCTGTTTATTGAATAATACTAATGACCCTTATATAGCTATTACAAGAGTCCTAATTCTAAAAGGAAATAAATGCTAATTAAGAAGTTTCCTAAAACATAATAGGAAACATAATAGCTAATTGAACAGAGATAAATACTAATTAGGAAACTGCTGCAGATTATTGAATAGGAAGCTAGAAATAATTAGAGAAAGAGATAAATGCTAATTAGGAAGCTGCAGATTAGGAAGTTTCCTAAAACTGTCAGATCACAGATTTCTTTCTCAACCACTTTGGATTCCAGAATCATCCTTCCTGATCATCCGATTTCTACGTTGATATTTTCGACCATAGAATTGGTCTGTAACATCACTCCCCCCGTTGACAAAGAGCTTGTCCTCAAGCTCAAAACTGGGAAATCTCGTTTGAAATGAACCCAAGGGCTCCCAGGTTGCCTCATCCAGTTGGTGCCCTTGCCAGTGAACTAAGAGCTCCCATCCCCCTTGAGTAAGTCTACTTCGAATGATTGCAAGTGGAATTGAGGTGCTAAGACTGTTAGGAACTGGCGGAAGAGTGCCCATTGTCGTTGGAGGAGGCCCTTTATGTGGCTTCAAAAGGGAGACATGGAAGACATCGTGTATACGAGCCTCAGAGGGTAATATGAGCTTGTATGCGCTGTTGCCAATGCGTTCCTGCACTTGAAAGGGGCCAAAAAATTTCTGCAATAGTTTGTGATTTTTTTGGCCCAAGGAGAGCTGGCGATATGGCTGGAGACGGAGCCAGACCCATGCTCCGGGTTCAAAGGATAAGTCTCGGTGATGTTTATCAAACTGGTCCTTCATGCGTTGTTGGGCTTGTGCTAGTCGGTCCTTGACACTTTTCAGAAGTTGGTCACGGGCAATGAGCTCCCAATCAACCCCCTCGACCATAGTTGTGCCGGGCATATATGAGAGAATACGAGGCGGATCCCGACCATACACTAAACGAAAAGGGGTGTCCCCTAAGGAAGAGTGGTAAGATGTGTTGTAACAATACTCAACCCATGGAAGCCAACGGACCCATTCCTTGGGATAATCGCTAGTGACACAACGTAAGAACAACCCTACGGTACGGTTGACCACTTCCGTTTGGCCATCTGTCTGCGGGTGATATGCTGATGAATAGGCCAGCTTGGTTCCTGATAATCTGAAAAGTTCGCGCCAAAATGTGCTTACAAATATTTTATCCCGGTCAGAAACAATGGATTCAGGCAGTCCATGAAGGCGAAATATTTCAGCAAAGAAGACTCCTGCGACTGAGACAACAGTATAAGGATGAGACAATGGGACGAAATGTGCTGCTTTAGAGAGTCTGTCCACAACCACTAGAATAACAGACTTGCCGCGAACCTTTGGTAAACCCTCCACAAAATCCATTGAAATATCGGCCCATATGTGGTGTGGAATCGGAAGAGGTTGAAGCAACCCAGCTGGCTGTAATGTCAACCACTTGTGTTTTTGACACGTTTGACAGTCACGAACAAAGGTTGTCACTGCCGTTTTCATGCCGCTCCAATAAAACTCACGCCGAAGCCGTTGCAAAGTCTTTTCCACTCCCTCATGAGCCATATTATGAAAAATCGAGATCAGAGTCAGAACGACTGCAAATGTATCTAGCAAGTAAAGTTTAAACCTGAAATAAACTAGGCCATCTCGAATCTCCCAATCGGATCCACGTTGACCACTTCGAATTTCGCCAATGATATCTCCTATGATAGGAGAGGTTGCTTGTGCTGCCCGTATTTCACTAAGTAAGGTGTTGTATGGAATACTGAGTGCTGCCAACTGGATGTCGTCCTCATGTTGTCGGGATAGAGCATCTGCGACAGTGTTTAGGCGGCTTGGCTTGTATTCTACCCGAAAATTGAAGCCCATCAATTTACTCAACCAATGTTGTTGTGGGGAAGTGGTCAATCGTTGATCAAGTAAATACTTCAAACTGGAGTGATCTGTCTGAATTAAAAATTCAGATCCCCACAAGTAGGGTCTCCAATGAGTCACCGCCTTGGCTAAGCCAATCAACTCTCTTTCATAGGCTGCGAGCTTAAGGTGTCGATCAACTATTTTTCGACTAAAGTAGGCGATAGGATGCCCTTCCTGTTGTAAGACTGCTCCAAAACCTGAACCGGAAGCATCGCATTCTACAATGAATTCTTTTTCAAAATTTGGCAATTGGAGTACCGGAGCGGAGGATAAGCGTTGCTTAAGTGTCTCGAATGCCTGGGCAGCTTCCTCTGTCCATATGAAAGAGTTTTTCCTTAACATTTGCGTGAGAGGCCCCGCAATTTCGCCATATTGTTGAATAAACTTTCTGTAATAGCCGGACAACCCTAAAAACCCACGCAGGGCAGATACAGATTTAGGGAGGGGCCAATCTGTGATTGCATGTATTTTGGATGGATCAACCTCGACACCCCCACGATGTATTATGTGACCAAGATAGTTGACTTGCTGGTCGCCAAAACTGCACTTGGACTTTTTTACAGAAAGGCCATGGTTGCGCAAGATTTCTAAGACGAGGCGCACATGATAAACGTGCTCAACCCATGACTTGCTATAAATCAGTATGTCATCAAAGAAAACGAGGACAAACTTGCGAAGGTAGGGCCCAAAAATATCATTCATCAAACTCTGAAATGTGGAGGGTGCATTAGTTAGGCCAAAAGGCATAACTAAGAATTCGAAGTGTCCATGATGCGTACGGAATGCTGTTTTTTCGACATCCCCAGCTGCCATCCGGATCTGATGATATCCAGAACGCAGGTCGAGTTTAGTAAAAAATTGGGCCCCATAAAGCTCATCTAGCAGCTCATCAATTACCGGGATTGGATATTTATCCTTAATCGTCTTGGAATTCAATTCCCTATAATCAACGCAGAATCGCCAAGCACCCTCTGGTTTTTTTACTAATAATACAGGTGACGAAAAGGGAGAATGACTTGGGCGTATGATACCTTGCGCGAGCATCTCTGAACATTGTCTTTCGATTTCATCCTTTTGAAAGTATGGGTAGCGGTACGGACGAACAACGACTGGGCCTGTTCCTGGGATGAGGGAAATTCGGTGATCACAAGGCCGAGAAGGTGGGAGGCCGGTTGGTGGGCAGAAGATATCCTGGAAGTCATTCAGTAGGCCTTCCAGCCCTAATACTGTTTCGGTTGGGCATGAGGAGGCGTAGTTGCAATCTGTCCGTGCCATTCCACTTTTGCATTCTGCCATATGAATTGCATAGAAAGGCGGGAGAAGTCCCATACAATAGATCCGAGGCCTTGAAGCCATTGTACTCCCAAGATCATGTCAAATCCAGCTAAGGGCAGTACATAGAAGTCTGCCATAAATGTGCGTCCATCGACCATGAATTCCAGCCGAGGGCAGGTTCCCAATATAGGCACCCGTTCACCATTAGCCACCAAAACCTGAAGACGGGACCCAGGTTGGACTGGATGAACAATATTAGAAACTAGCCGTTGATGCACAAAATTGTGGGTGCTGCCTGAGTCGACTAAAACCGTGATCGAGGTGTTGTGAATGTGTGCAGCTAACTGCATTGTCGATGTTGTCCCAGCACCAACCATAGCATGAAGTGAGAGGGGGGGCTCTAGGTCATCTTCCAGGGGATTGTCTTCCAAAATTTCAATGAAAAACAACCGTTTGCATTTATGGCCACGAACCCACTGATCATCACAATTATAACACAACCCTTTCTCCCGGCGGATGGCAGCCTCTGCAGGAGAAATCTTTTTAAAATTTGGAATGGAGCTGCGCCGAGGTTGATTGGATTCGGTCAGTGTGGGCGCATAGCCTGATCGTGTGGCAGGTTGGGGTGGAGGGGAGATCTCGACCGAGGAGCCTGGCAAATTATATTTGCGTTCAACATTACGTGCGAGCATCATCGCAGAGTCAAGATCTAACGGACTTTGGTACTCAACCTCCATGCGGATGACCTCCCGAAGGCCAGCTGTGAATATTTTGACTTGCATTCGTGTAGAGATCCCCACGGTGCGAGCCAATAATTGTTGAAAATTCTCAATGTAGAGCTCCAGATCACGAGTTTGACGAAGTTTGGCAAGATCACCTTCTGGATTAGAACTACTGGGTGGGCCGAAACGTTTGATGCAGCGAGTGTAAAAGTCTGTCCATGTAATCTCTGAAATTCCTGTCTCCAGTTGATCGGCCCATAGTTGGGCGGTGCCGAGCATGTGGAATGTTGCCAATCCCACTCGAGCTTGGGCCGGTGTTCGTTGTTGAATAAAGAAGCTTTCACAACGTTTCAACCACGACAAGGGATCACTTTTACCGTCAAATTGAGGGAATTCCAGTTTGGAGTAGCGGGGGACTACAGAGTCATCAGTTTCACGCCGACGATGTTCTGGGTCGCGTTGTCGTTCATGCCGTGGAATGCTGGAGGAAGATTCGTCCATCAATCGTTGCAGGTTGGCAGCTAGCGCGGATACAACGTTAGGAATGTCGGCGAGCTTTGCCATAGAATCCCTGATGTCTGCCAATTGATGTTCGACTGCCAGTTGCCTGTGATCGATGTTTTCGATCATGTCTTTGAGTGAGCCAGCGTCAGCAGCGTCTTTCGCCATCGTCCTAGATGCTGATACCAAGTTGTTAAGGGCAGACGTACAAGATCTCGTCCAAGGACGAGAACGAGAGACTGGCAGGGAACGAGAACTTCGAAAATTCTGAAATTTGGAATCTATGATGAATGTATTAACTGGAAGAATTAAAGGATAGGCTCAGTGGAATTAATCTGATCTTGGAAGTATTCCAGAGATCCAGAAATTAATTCTCCAAAGCTGTTTATTGAATAATACTAATGACCCTTATATAGCTATTACAAGAGTCCTAATTCTAAAAGGAAATAAATGCTAATTAAGAAGTTTCCTAAAACATAATAGGAAACATAATAGCTAATTGAACAGAGATAAATACTAATTAGGAAACTGCTGCAGATTATTGAATAGGAAGCTAGAAATAATTAGAGAAAGAGATAAATGCTAATTAGGAAGTTGCAGATTAGGAAGTTTCCTAAAACTGTCAGATCACAGATTTCTTTCTCAGCCACTTTGGATTCCAGAATCATCCTTCCTGATCATCCGATTTCTACGTTGATATTTCCGACCATAGAATTGGTCTGTAACATAATGATAGGAATGCAGCTGAAATGAATAAAGAGGATAAATACTTAGATGATATAATACTTAGTAAATAGAATAGTTAGTTGATAGTTAGTTCGGTTATTGCTATTAACTAATTTGGTTGTACTGAATAGCTATAAATAGAAGAAGGCTAGAAGTAGAGGGTAGGCTGTTTGACTGTTTAGTCTTTGCTGGGAAGACTGAGATTAGTCGTCTCTATCTTTGGGGTTTTCAGCCATATTTTGTTCATCTTCAATAAAATTCTCAGATTGTTTCTTGATATTTTTCTGTAGTTTTACTGTATACCTGGACTGTTCTATCACATTCATTCATTTGTTTTCGGCAGAAAAATTCATCTTATTCTGTATTTTCTTTTCTATTGTTTCTCAGCTAACTAAAAGTAGGAGTCCTGTAGCTCATAATGGAGATTAAGTGTATCCTGTTTTCGATGGCGAAGGCAAAGGCAAATTTATAATCCAAGTTCAGTTGATATTGAGATTCTCAAGTTAAAAGTGCAACTAGATGAATGAGGCAATCTCTCTTTTAGTACTCGAAGCCAACTACTTTTCTCGTGGGTAATCCCCAAATGTCTCTTTCTCTTCGGTGATTGTATTACTTTTTTCTTCTGGCGATATGTCATACTTTTTCGAAACTTATATCCTTAGTATAATACTGATTACCAATATTCTGGAAAGCAATTATATTTGGGCCTATATAGCAAAAAAATTGCCAAGCTTTACTAATGTGTGTGTATTACTTCAGGGGGCGTCTGGGGAAGGGGCCTGGGGTAATCTGGGCTGAAACTCAATCCATTGAGTTTCGAACCCGAGACCTCCCGTAAGGGAGAGTGAATCGGCGACCAGCTGGACTGGACCGCTTCCTCATATATATATATATATATATATATATATATATATATATATATATATATATAAATGCTCAGGTCCCTCTGGAGGGACGGGAGCAGCCGTCCGAACTTCACTGTTTGGGGCAGTTCCCGATGGAATTTTCCGATGAAATTTTTTGAGCATGTTCCTCATCAAGTCTAGTTTGTCCATACCAAATTTCAGCTCAAAATTCGACCAGGAAGGCAGTCAAATAAATTCTTGAAGCTTACTGCACATTCTGCGCATATATAAAGTGCAGTAAGTTTCAAGAATTTATTTGAATGCCTTCCCGGTCGAATTTTGAGCTGAAATTTGGTATGGACAAACTAGACTTGATGAGGAACATGCTCAAAAAAATTCATCGAAAAATTCCACCGGGAACCGCCCCAAACAGTGAAGTTCGGATAGTTGCTCCCGTCCCTCCGGCTGGACCTGAGCAGTCCTATATATATATATATATATAGGGGAGGGTTCTAGTGAGAACCCCTCTTAAAATGAGAACCCGTGAGAACCGGTGGTATTTTTGGCTGAATTTTTTTTGTGTATGTTCCTCATCAAGTCTAGTTCATCCATACCAAATTTGAGCAAAAAATTCAATCGGGAAGGTCATCAAATGATTTTTGAAAGAAAACTGGTCCGGAATATACATATAAAATGCAGTTTTCTTTCAAAAATCATTTGACGACCTTCCCGATTAAATTTTTTTGCTCAAATTTGGTATGGATGAACTAGACTTGATGATGAACATACACAAAAAATTTCAGCCAAAAATACCACCGGTTCTCATTTTAAGAGGGTTCTCACTAGAACCCTCCCTTATATATATATATATATATATGTACACACACATATGGATATTCCGTTCATTTCTTTGTAATGTTACAGTTTAAGCGATGACTGGTTTGATGTAATTTTCTTTTATGAATCACAGAATACGGGCGCTACATACACAAGGTAAAACAGGTGTTTTTAAGCGACAAGGGCGCTTTAATTGGGTCACTCAGACTAGCTAAGCACATGCATGATGATACTTTCACACCCTAACAGAACTTAATTCTCATAGTCCTGCCATATACATTTGGCTGTAAGGTTTGACTGCCTATAGAGAATATGAGGATGTGTTGCTTTGTACTTCCCCATTCCCATCATAATAGATATTCAGAGAACTTCAAACTTTAGTTCTTGGTGGTTGGTATTGTACGTGGCAAACATTGATTGAGCGTATATATGTTTTCTCCCAAGCGTTTGTTATTGAGTTGTCAATCAGAAAATGTGCAGAGATGAAAAAAGGGTGCCCCCCTCTTTTCTGTGAAATAAGTATGTGGATGCTTTTTAGTGGACACTTTGCTTTCTAAAACTAGGAGGGGGCATGAAGCATCTGGTTTGCCTCCTTTTTCTGTAAGTGATCCAACAAGTGGTGGAGGACGTAACATTTGTCGGATCCTCTAAACTTTTATTCCAGTACTTTACTTCCGTATTTTTCTCCAGATTAACTTCGCTAAGTTTTCTTTTTATGTCTTAGATTTTGAGATGGAAATGTGATGAGACTTTAAAGTTTTAAATTATTCAAATTCTTTTCCCTCCAATCCCTACCCAACTACCCCTCACCATCCCCAGCGGCCAGCGGCGATCATTGCCTCGGAAAAAAATTCAAAAACTGTCATCGGATTGTCGTCGAGGTACAGTATCATGTTCGGCTTCTCCAGTAATATAAAAAACTGTCGGTGAAATAATAAACTGGCAATGACAATTAAATATGTCTAATTTTATTTCCTTATTTATCACATTTATAGAATAAATATAAATAGTGTGATCACTTTTTGAAATTGACTTTCACCATAGTATTTTTTTTTTAAAAAATTCTTTTCTTATTTATTGGGTTTTAACTTATTTGGCCGCATTTTGCTTGTTTGAGACTATTTTGTCATATCATTTGCACGTCAACTTTTGGAATGGTAATTACGAAAAGGTAAAATAATTCTAATACTACGTACTTACGTAAATCGGGTAATGGTAATTACAAAACTGATCAAATTAAAAGTAGATAAGAGCTCGCTTGGTTTTGGTGCTTTGGTGGTAGTTTTCAAATGGAATTTCGTCTATCCGGGAGCTGAAAAATGTCTACTTACTTCTACTTACTCAATAATAAAGTAGAACCTTCATAGTAATTGCTATTGAGTACAATTTATCAATTATTTAATTGCTATTGAGTATAATATATCAATTATCTAATTGCTATTAAGAACAACTGATGAATGATATAATTGCTATTAAGTACAAAAACATCTTTTGATCACACGTTTAATACACTTCACACTTAAAAATAAGTGTTTTAAGGGCATCCACATTGTTTAGATTACTTAGAGTTTAATTGGATGATGTGTAAGATTATTTTAAAGATTATCATTGTGAGTGAGGGATTATTTAGAGAGATTATTGAAAAAGATAATCCGGTATCAAGATTTGAATCCCGGATTATTTTAGGTTGTAGTTAAATTTCATTTAATGCATGGTCTAGAAAAACTAAATTATTTGATTATCATGGTTGATGGAGAGTTTTAAGATTTGAGATTATTTAAAATTTATTTAATAAATATGATGTGTCAATGATGTGTCATAGAAAAACCATTTATTTTAAGATCATGATTAAAGATGCTTTAATGAAATGGTTTCATGTCATAACTTTACATTCCATATTTAATCTCATTCCATAAATACAATATGATTAGAAATATGGAACATTACATATTCTATGTCATTCCCTATCATATTTTACAAAGGCTAGCTAGATACTCTTACAAACAAGACACGTAAATCTTCAACTCCTTCAATTTCACAAAATGCGTAATTCTTCAACTCTTCCAATTTTACAAGACACGTAATTCAAGTGCGTCTATAACATATCTGAAATATAAACACATATTATAAGGAACACATGTAATATATATGGCTATATGCAGTCATCCAATTTTTAGATGTAATATTTGTACCATAAAGTGTCTAAAGGTTACTCAATAGATAAAATATTTGTTGTGACATTATTTAAGATAGTTAGGTTGTGGAAACTAATTTTGTACGTATGAAACTACTTTTTTATTTTCTTTTTAGAAATAAGTTTATGATTTTTTTACCTTGAATCATATTTGTTAATCATCTCTTATTAAATTATTCATATATTGTTTTCCTCCTAATATGTTGAAATACAGAAGGAAACATATATCATAAAAAATATGGTTAATAACTGATAATGAGTGTTTAATAGGATATTTTTACATTCGTACAAAACTGCTTCCACAAACATAAATATATATACATAAATACACTAAGTACTTATATACAAAAAAAGCTCAGATTAACATACAAAAACAATAAGCATACTTATATGTTTGTGATTTTTACCTTAAATCATACGGAGTATTTGTTAACCATCTCTTACTAAATTATTCATATATTGTTTCCATCCTAATATGTTGAAATATAAAAAGGAATATATACACCATAACAAACATGGTTAATATATATGATAACAAGTATTTAGTAAGAACTTTTTCACAAACTTATCCGGCCATACATATACATACAATCGATTTCACAATAGGATGTTTTTCCATATATACAAAATTATTGCTGCCACAAACTTTGCATATATATTGGGCTGATTTCAAATTAGGAAATTATTTCATAGTGCTTCCACAAACTTATACTACCTCCGTCCCATTTAAATTGTCCCGGAAGAGGGTGACACGGTTATTAAGAAAATTGAGTTTGTGTGGTTGATATTAATTGATAAAGTAAGAATTAAGTAAGAATGATTTAGAGCCACACAAACTTTGCCAAATATGATATGAGACAATTTAAGTGGGACTTCCCGAAAAGGTAAAACGGGAGTATATATTGAGAAGATGGACAATTTTCAACAAGCAATCACCTTCTACGAAGAAAACAACAGAGTCAGTCCTTCTAGACGAATGTGTAAATATTTTTTATTATTTAAATAATAGTTCATGTTCTTAATTTAGTATTAATGTTAGTTTGATTTCTTTAGTATGCTCTGTAAGGTGGTTCTATTCGTTGTTCGGTCGGCATGAAATTTATTGAAAGATTTGACGATTTATTGGTAGAAGACAAATGTTACAAAATCTTTATTTTTTATGTTGGGGTTAATCACAGATGTTACTAGGCTACATAGCATAATATCGTCATAATTTTACAAATTCTACTATAGTCAAGGAAATAGACGATTTAGATATTCCATCCACTTTCTACAATTTTTCATCTTTCACATCAATTTTGAGTCCATCATTTTACCTGACTATTTAGTAGATATCATTACCAAGTGTTTGTCAAAATTTAGAAACAATTACTTTAAGGAATAGTAAGTCGAGACTAAAACTACGCATGCTACTACAAGCTAAGACACAAGTAACTAATATTTTTGTAGATTACATATTCATGTATGCATGACTCTATACATTTTATAAAATATAATTACATATATTTTCTTGAAGGGGAGCAATTATACCATGTGTAATGTGGGCTGAAAAGTCTGAGTACTTTGGGAAAAAGATTAGAGGTAATCCCAAGCTACCTTTTATAATTGATATTCGATTGGGGCTTACTCACATATTCTTATTTTATGATATATTTAATAACACATGCTTTATATTTTACAAGGTGAAACACTATATTACTTATATATCTAAGAGACTAAGAGCATATATTTCAAACAAATCTAACAACCTCAATATGCACCCCGGGGCAACGCCCGAGTAAAACACTAGTTTTATTTATCAATTATGGACATGAAATATGGAATTTATTAGTATACGCATGAAATATTGAAATTTGTCCATAGACTCAAGACCTAATATAAATATATAATGTTGCCAGTTTTCGAATTCTTATAGTGTATGCATTTTGGGTCCATCAGACTAGAGCCCGTTTGGTAGCACGAAAATCGGCTGATTTGGCTGATTCTGCTGCAATTTATGAAGTTGTGGCTGAAGTGGTTGCATTGACGGGGGATTCTGCTTATTTAAGATTTTTTTAAATAAAATAAATTTTACTAATAAAATAAAGAAAAAATTATATACAAAATAGCTAAAATGATCACCTACAGTAACTTCAGCCAATACAGCCAGAAAAGTAACTCCAACCTTACTTTTTCTGCTTATTACACAATTCAGCTTGCGAAAGCAAAAGTTACATGTTTGGTGAAAAAGTTGACTGATAAGTCTGATAAGCCGAAAAACGGTGTTGCCAAACGGCCTCTATCACTCTTTGTGTCTCTGCTTTTTCAAAATGATTTTAAAGGATCTGTCTGGTTTTTATTGTTCATAGAATTGCAAGGACTTTGAGTAGAAATGGCACCTATTGCTGACTAATTTCATCACCCCACAATCAGGGGTGAAGTCAGGGCACTGAGGCGGACTTGGCCGGTACAAAAAATATCTTTAAATGTTTTTTGCATATAATTTTTACCTTAAAAATAAACTCATTTTTTAAATTTGGGGTGGGCCAAAGCCTAGGTTGACCCTCCCCTAATCCGCCCATGCCCACAGTTGTCCAATACTAAAGAAATACTCTCTCTGTCTTTTACCTATCATACTTTCCTTTTAAATTGTCCCATTTCATTGTCACATTTCATTTTTTGCAAATAAATATTTTGTACTACATTTATGGTATACAACATTAGAGGAATGTTCATGTCAGGCCGGCCTGACGGGCTGCCCCGTCCGGCCGAGCCCGTTTGGGCACCTTCCCGGTGGAATTTTTTGATGAAATTTTTTGAGCATGTTCCTCATCAAGTCTAGTTTGTCCATACCAAATTTCAGCTCAAAATTCGATCGGGAAGGTCGTCAAATGATTTTTGCAAGTAAACTGGTCCGGAATATGTATTTTCCGGACCAGTTAACTTGCAAAAATCATTTGACGACCTTCCCGATTGAATTTTGAGCTGAAATTTGGTATGGACAAACTAGACTTGATGAGGAACATGCTCAAAAAATTTCATCAAAAAATTCCACCGGGAAGGTGTCCAAACGGGCTCGGCCGGACGGGGCAGCCCGTCAGGCCGGCCTGATGAGAAGAGCTCTCTACAACATTACACTTCATATACTCATATTTCAATTACAACTTTTACTTTTTAGTCACTTTATTAATAATTATGTCAAATCAAAGTTGATTTATACTTCGTATATGAACTACACCCATGATCTATACATTCTCATCTTAATATACTTCGTATATATATACACCTAGCTAGCTTATTAAAGATGTTTTTTTATTAAACTGATTTTTTTATCTGGCCCATCAGGTTTGATTTGATTTGATCTTTGAATCTAGCTAGTTTGATAGATACTCCGTATATGTTACGGAGTACTTATGTATAATGATTTGATTTGTATAACTTTATTAATTACATTTTATTAAATATTAATAAATCACTCATTTTTCTAATACATCTCCATGTGCGTTCAAAAACATTCCTAAATCAAACCCACATAAACTACATTTTGCTCAATTTTATTTAAGTATTTAATCATGTTAGGTATTCGATATTGTAACTGAATGTCATCTAGTAAACTATACCTACATTCCACTCAAATCAAGATAGCTTTATACACGAATTGGATGAGAAAATAATTTCTTTTGCAGTGTGTTACTTGGATATGGATTATTGTTATTTTTCTTTGGTACATATTATCAAACTATTTGCTTTCACTTCTTTCTGAAATGATCAAACTATAAGCCAATAGTATTAAACACTCGGTATATCTTAATTGTGGTTGCACTCACTACATGAAAACGCTTAAAAAAAATTAAACATAACTCAAATATGTATGCATAAAATAGTATACAAATTTCAAAACAAGTACAAATTAGGCATATTACAAAGAAACATCGAGTATCTAAAATGTAGAAAACTTTAATATACAAACCAAGAAATGTATATGGGTATATAACGGGACGAAGGGACTCAAGGGATCACTTTTCATACTTACACGTAAGATGGCCATTAAATTTTGGCATGTTGTATACTTATGTCATAAAAGGTAATTGATATGATGCTTTTGTAAAGCTAGAAAAGGGATCCAAGTAATATTATACAATTTCAAACAAGCTAACTCCCATTTGAAATAAGACGAAACAATGATATGTGACCCTTAAGCTAGTCTTGAGGGGCTAGACATCATTTGAAAAATTATATTCTTCCAAATTCATTTCATTTTCATTTCATTAGTGACTTGAATTCAAGATATCTCACGTGAGCAAGATCTTAACGGCCTGTTTGGATGAGGTGTTGAAGGGTGTTAGTAATGAAAGTGTTGATGAGTGTTGGTCTTAACACCTGTTTGGCAGAATTTTTTTTAAACAAATGGAGTGTTAGTAAGTGTTAGAGAAAACCTTCCTAACACCTCAATAATTGATTTTTTTAACACCCCAAATTGGAGTGTTTTGGAGTGCTGGACAAATCTTGCCCCTCTCATTATCGTCGTTCTGCCTTCTCCGCTTCTTCCTGCAATTATTTTACACGAATCAGGTCTGCAACGTTGCATTTTCTCTCATCAAACTGGTCCCTTTTACAGGTCTCATCAATCTCTCTATCAGCTGCCGCCCATGCCGTCGTCTTTCTTTCCTTCAACCATGTCAGCGATTGAGAAGCAGAGGTATTTCCAGAGCATTCAAAGGCACTCATTCGTCCCTGCTTCTCTGCCGGAAAATAGAGTAAAGCCAAAAGAAAAAGAAAAAAGTGATTCAAAAAGTATAGCTACGAAGTGATTCACTCTTCATCTCATCTGCTTTACGTAATAATTAATTGTTAATCAGTATGAGTAATAATGATCCATGTTGAGAAGGAACGATGAATTTCCAGAGCATTATTCAAAGGCAAAGCCACTCATTTGAAGGAGCGATGGCTCGAAAATGTCTGATGGACAATACTGCGTATATTAGTTTTAGGATTTAGATGAGGATATTATTGTCAATTTAATCGAAAACACTTCCGTTATTAACACTTCGTTTTTTTACTCTCCCAAACAAGGTAAGTTTATATTCTACACATACACTTACTTTCCCGTCCGGGCCCATGTCAACACTTACTAACACTTCCGTTACTAACACCTTTCAACACTTCATCCAAATAGGCCGTAAGGGTGAGAGTTCAACCACTTGAATCAGTTCCACTTGTCAGTTTTTTTGATGTGATTGATTTGATCTTATATATTCTAGTCGATTTAATTCTTATAAGATCTGATTTATTTTCATTATTTAAATGCGATCAAGATTGATGTGATGTGGTTTACAATTGAGATAATTAGTCCAAATGAATTTAAAAGTATAATAATACACACACAAAAGTTGATGGACCTCGCCAAAATGTTGGTGTGGGGTGTATGATAGGTGGTATATCAACCACGTTTTGCTATAGTAAATATAATTAAATTCAATAATAATAAATAAATTGCTAAAATCGTTTTAAATAACATCTAAGTAATACTCCATAATAATAATAATAATAGCAATAATAATAGTAATAATAATGACAGTAAAAAAAAACATACCATCTGTTTAGATTATTGGTAATAGTGGGCTAGCATTTACACAATTCAATATGTGAGCCCACATAGGCTCCTAACGCAATAATAACGAATAAGGTATGGCAGTTAGCCCACTATTTAACTTTTTTCTGGCCCGTTTAGTAACCAATAGGGTGAAAATGCCATAATCCGTTCCAATAAATAATAACAAGGGGATGCCTTATACGTAGTATATAGAGGTGTTCTTTCCTCTTTGTTTCCTCCTTCTCTCCCTTCTATAAAAGCTCCTAATTCCCGATCATGGCTACCACTAGACCCTACTTTAATTTTTGTACAAGCATGTAAATGGTGGGACCGTAGATAAATGAGTGATGATTTGGATTATAGTGAAAAGTATAGTGGATTTCACCCTTTCATGTCCTTGAGTGGATTTATTCTAGATTCATACATAAATCTTGTATTCAATTAACCTTAACACCATAACAAATAGAAAAAACATTGTAATTTCTTTAAGTCAAAATAAATTTGTCCCTCCACAACTAATTTAGAGTTGAAGGGGTCTAGGAAAATTTCACATATCACCAAGTGGAGGAAAACAAACTATTTTGTCATACATATTATTTTAATCAAAGAATCTAGAGAAACAAAAGTATTACTATTATAAACATATAATATAAAATAAGCAAAGGAAAAGGGAAATGGAAAAAACAAAAAACAAAGGTGATATAAGACTATATGAGAGCATTAATAAACCTTCCATATGGGGTGTGTATGACGTATGGGGGCGTGCATGTGAAGTTGTCATTTCATCAATCTCCATTCCCCTTTGCTAGGACAAAATCTTTAACATGAGCAAAACATTGTAAGACTATCCAAATAGGAGTGCATATGCTAAATTCTCAAAATATGAATTTCATATACTATCTACATCCTTTTTTATCACTTAGGATTTTGGATTAGAGATAGGGTTTATGATTTGTGAATCCCCTTAGGATTTAGAATCAGCCCTTCTAGGGTTCTAACAATCTCGATCATTTAGAGTTTAGTGACGATTGTCCGACGGAGCCAGCGGCTCGGCGCATAGGTTCGTCCAAATGAGATCTAGATGTGACTGTTGTTCAAGAGTGATTGTCCTTCATGTACGCTCAAATGACATTTTATTCACTCGCTGTCTTTTACTCTTATTATGAGTATTGTAAACATATACTACTATTTTCCCCTTTTACCTTGTTTTACTCCTAGTTTGAGAATTTATCTTCCTTTTTCTGTTTTAGATAAAATCAAAATTACATCTTATTCAACATCCAACTCTAGCAATTCTATTACTATTACTATTGTTTCTCATCTCCTCCCAGTACATATATTAGAACACTCATGGGTTACTTCATTTTTCAACTTGCATGGATTAAGTTGTCTTCGATTAAGGCGTCTTTAATCAAAGTATTTATATTATGTGCGTAAAATAGTTTATTTATGGCTAATTTTGAGTTGCCTCATCAACGACGTCTATTACATAATTTGTTCAGATATTTGACTGAATAGACGTTGCAATTGAATGTGCATGAGTAATATACAAGACATAATTATTATGTAAATGAGTAAATCATGCTTCAACAAGTAAATAGTTTCCCACTTAATTTACAACTCATTGTGTACAATTTTTATTCTCAATTCGCTAAAAAATCATATCCATATCCATGTTGAAAATGTTGCCAAGTCCCCACAAATTAGCTAAATACAAAAAATATAATCTCATATATAATATTTTGGACTCATCCTTCTATCAAGATGACCTTTCAAAATGGAATTCGAGCCTTATTATGGATTCATGGCATCGTGCAGTTCCAACTCATTTGCATAGCCCATGATCCATTTATCAGCATGTAGTGCATTTCAGTTCAATAACTACACTTGAGCATAAGCTTTAGAGAGTATCAAAATTACAAGTGAACAACTAGTCACATACAAAATCACTCATCATTAATACACACATAGATTGTTAGTCAAATATAGGATGCTCGTAGACCTCAAGAAGGTTTCAACTAAAGTTTCGAGCAAAGAAATGAATAGTGAGAGTCGTAGCTAAAGAGAGAAGCAACATTGTTAAAAATAGTGATACTCGGGATTGTATATATACTATCATGGCATGTTCACATTTATCATTTTCACCTTGTAATAGTGTAATACAATGATGGAGTCGTAACATTGTTACTCCTTAATTAACAAATTATACATCATCTCAATCCTATTAAGTCGTGTTTTTGGCTACCACACGACTAAAGAAATGATTGCAAATACTTAGTGCAATCCCCATTTTTTAATATGGTAATTTGATTCATTGATTGTCTTGCAGGTTCAGAATATATTAATACAAAAAGACCTGGGATGCAAAATAACAAGCGAAGTTGTAAAAAAGAATAAGCATTTGATATACAAAGACATGCCATGAATGACCTTAAAAAATCTGTCATGACAAAGCTTCTCACACTCCAAGCATCTTCATGTCACATAACTTTCTCCAAACAATCTTTGCATCACAAGCCACTTTGTGCCACAAACCCACCGTTACAGTCTCATAAATTCACGGCAAACCAAATCTATGATATTCCATTCATATAGATACACACTTACATTCATATTAAGCCTAACCTTACATGTCATAGTTGCATCCACATATCAATCCCGGATATGTCACACCTAGCCCCCAACTTTAAATTCGTGTTTTATGTAGAGGAGGCCATCATATATCCTCCTTACACATAAGGAGCCCCATTGTGGATACCAAGCTACAAAAGTACATCTTTCTATAAAAAGGGACATTACAAGTTTCAACAATCCATAATAACTCAACTCAATCTGTTTATTTAGCGTGCAAACTAAACCGGCTCATTACAAATATGATCTAGTTTATAGTTCGTACAGACATCTTCTTAATATTAATATTCCTTCCGTACCATATAACTTTGTCAACTTTTTTTTATTATACTATTAACTTTGTCATTTTTCCTTTTAAATAAAAAAATTGTTATTCCTCTTAATTCTCTCCTCCCCATAAACTTCAATCAGACAATGTTTAGTTTATTATTTTGCATGTCTGTCAACTTTAACAAAGTTATAATGAATCAAGGACACATTTACTTCACATGTTACTAAACAATGTTTATTAAGATTCGTGTTAATAAGCGCCGCATAAAATAAGCAGTGTTGTAAGTTCATGTTTACTTCGAAAGATTTAAAACACCGTTTAACATTAAAATGTTCAAAATAACCCTATACATATATAGACACACAAATATTCAAGTACATAAGTATATAATATAATACGTGGGGGCCTACCCGTACGACTGTACGAGTACCCATACCCCCACCACCCTTACCCGTGCCCCCCGCCCCTTGTAACACCCCGACCCCGCAGGACCCGGGGTAGTTACTCTAGACCTCTCCGGACTCCTAGTACTGTCCTCACAAACCACCACGATCCTTTACCGCGCATTTTGTCCTCACTCATGCGCGCCCTGAGAAACTTCTCAAGGGGTCACCATCCCTTGGACTACCCCCAAGCAAGCACGCTTAACTTTGGCGTTCTTAGCGGATGAGCTCCCTTAAAAGGAGATGCACCTCTGTTGGTATGAGTAGTACTATTAATCCTCTTAAATTAATCTCGGGCATTACAATCACCCCTACTTAGGAACGCAACGTCCTCGTTGCGCCCATAAACCAATCTCAAATCTCAATCAAATCCCAGAATCCTCCCCCGCTAAGTGCCCGCCCGAAATCCAACGGGTCAGCACACTGTCGCAGGGTTGCTCTGATACCACCTGTAACACCCCGGCCCCTGCAGGACCCGAGGTAGTTACTCTGGACCTCTAGTACTCCTAATACTGTCCTCACAAACCACCACGAGCCTTTATCTCACTTTGTCCTCACTCATGCGCGCCCTGAGAAACTTCCCAAGGGGTCATCCATCCCCTGGACTACCCCAAGCAAGCACGCTTAACTTTGGAGTTCTTAGCGGATGAGCTTCTTTAAAAGGAGATGCACCTCTGTTGGTATGAGTAGTACTATTAATCCTCTTAAATTAATCTTGGGTATTACACCCCTATCCCTACCCGTAACCCCCGCCCACTACCCACTACCCACTTCCCTACACCCTACCCCCAATTCCACACCCTACCTCTATCCTTACCACGACCTTACCCTTACCCCTACTCCCCCACCTAGGTTCGGGGTAAGGGTAGGGATATGGGTGGGTGAGGGGTAGGAGTTAATGTATATGGGGTATGGTCGTGGTAGGGGTAGGCAAGGTTGAGGTTATGGGTGGGTGGGTAGGGTTGGAATTAGGGGGGTCGGGGTGGTGAAGGGTATATAGGTCGGGGTCCGGTCAGGGGTCAGGGGTCAGGGTCATAGTAGGGTCAAGGTAAGGGCAAGTGGTAGGGGTACCGGGGGTAGGGAAAGGGGTAAATAGGGTTGGGGCAGGAGTATGGGGTGCATGGGGACAAGTAGGGGTGGGGTAAGGGGGTATGATCGGGGTAGGGTTGTAAGGGCTAGGGGTAGGGGCCTGGTGGTATGGGTGGGGTGGGGGTGGGGTACTCATTATGGGGTTGGGGGTAAGGGTTGGTTGGGGCCGATAGGGGATGGGTAGGGTTGGGGGTGGGGGTAGAGGTAATGTCAGGGCAAGCGATAAGGGTAAGAGTAAGTTCGGAAACTGAAAAAACTTAGAGTGACACTTAATTAATACATACTTAGTTAGCGACACTTTTAAGCACATCTTTTGGTTAGTAAGTGACTTTTTTAAGCAATTTGTATTTTTAGTTCACTTATCTTACTACCTTAACTGTAACTTTAACAGCAAACTAAACATGTGCCAAGAGAGTAAAAGTGAATCCAATTAAGGTTCAAAATGAAAAAATAAAAACAGGCCCTCAAACTATTAGATTCGTTTTAACCCCTAAATGAGGACCACTAATCTGTGCTGCGTTGAAAATTTGAAAACCTGGACACAGCCTAGCTGGACGCCCGTACATCGGCAGAACACACTCATGGACAGTACACAGTACAAAATCATGTACAGTACATTCCCAAGCCTATACATATACGCGCACGCGTTAACGCGTACACATAGTTCTTCTTTTTTCATATAAACTCTCTTCTACGTTCTCCCTCAGATTCCCTCCTTTTTTCCATTGAGGATGCAACCCCGCCCAGACAGAAACAAAACTCCATACATCCCATGCTTCCTTCAGTTAATTTCAAGACCCAATTTTCTGGTTTGACTTGCCAGCTGCTTGCTGTTGTTTTCTTCTTTCTGCCCTTTTCTCTCAGATTTCTCCAAAAACGGGGCTTTCTTGGCGCCCTTTCAGTCATTCTTGAATTATGCCTACACTTTTCTTGTGCGTAAAATAGTCTAAATCATAGAGATAGAGAGCGAAAACAAACAAAGGGTTGTCGTTTTAGGTTGTATGAAAAAAGCCGCCTCTTTTATTTATTGGGATGTAAAGAATGGCGGGTGTAAGTAATGGGGTGAATCCGGTGATGATGGGTACGGGTGGAGTGGACAGCCCTGGTTCGGGTTCGGGCGGGTTTGAAGCCCGGCCCATGAAATTCCAGAACAACCAGCAGATTAATTCGGACTGGAGTGATGAAGAGCAGGCTATACTGGAACAGTGTCTTGCCAAGTAAGTAAATGTCTTGTTTTTCTTGTTCTTGTTCTTTTTCTTTGGTTATCTTTCTTTCATGTCTTGAATTTTGGGATTTAGGTTGTTCTTGTCAGAGCAGCGTGTTTATGTGAGCTTATTTGGGATTAACTTGTTTGTATTGTCTGATATTGAATGTATAATTAAATACTGCACTTTAGCCATCATGCTTTTCTCTTCATGGTATTATTGAATTTATAATGAGTATATAGAAACATGTATGCGTGTAGGTATGCACGTATGTATGAGGGTTTTGGTGCTTCAATTCATGTTTGATTGTAAGTTCTGTTTCTGTCTTGGTTTATGTGGAGCTTCTGATTGTTTGTGTTTGATTGTTTAAAATGCTTTCTTGGATTATTAAATTTTAGGAGTATGAGAATATATCCATTCTTCTATAAGAATGGGAGTATACTTCTGTCAGCTGTTATGTTATTGTATACTTTAAGGTTGTATGCTTAGTTTTCCAGGTAGAGAATCTTTCTTCCACTCATAATGAGGGGATCTTGTGTGACGCCATTAGATTTTCAGAAATTTCTTGGGACCCACTCAATATATCCTTCCTTTTATCTAGTTCTACTGTTCAGATTACTAGATGAGCCTCATATTTATGCTTAAATTTGGGCTTGTGTAGAAGTTGTATAATAGAATGAAGAACTATTTATTGTATTGATAATAAACAGTGCACGTAGGGATTTATATTGCACGCAAGTTCATACAACAAGAAAGAAGAAAAAGGGATATTACTAAATGTATATTATTCCTCACATAATAATATTACTATTCCTAATAAGGCTTGTCACACAAGATGTGGATCATACTGCTATATTAGCATGTTATTATTATGGAATTGTTAAAAACTGGGATCAGTGAAACTCTTACAGCTAGCAGCAATCTAAGCCACTTTTGATGGTATGTATGTGTGCACGCTTAAATGTCTCTGCTGAATTTTGCATCTTTGGCAAAAAGTATGCATGCGAATATTTTTTTTATAGATAAAAGGCCTTATGCAATATAGTCGGTGCAGGTATGCAGCATATAATTCGACAAACATAGCTCGCTATGCAAAAATTTCATTGCAGCTGAATAACAAGACAGTCCGTGATGTGGCATTGCGTTGTAGATGGATGGCTGTAAGTGGTTTCACACCCGACTTTTTGGATAATAAATATATCATTCAATTATTACTGCCCTCATGAGAAGAAAATTTTTAAGGTTTTTCTGTTATTAAAGTTGGGTAGGTATAATAATAATAAGGCTGATGAGTTATTGTTTGTCCTTTCTTTGTAGAAAAGAGAGAGCGAGATGAAAATGGAAAAGGATTCAATTCCAATTAGGAAGATGACCGCTGATAAAAAGGTCAGTTAGTCATCTCATTATTATGTCATCTTTATGCTATAGCGGTTGTATGTATTGGATAATCTAAATCCTATGAGGATGCTAGACATATGAGTATTATAAAACCATTAATTCTTTGAGTTGTTCCCTTGCTTTTCTCAAAATGTATTATTTCATAAAAAAAATTAAAACAGCTTGAGGTTTAAGAAATGTTAATTCTTATATCTCAGGCTAAGTTGGTTTACTCCCCCAGATGGACAGCAAACAATAACAACAATGGAAATCTAGCCTTGTTCAATGGTAAGCCCAATTATTTCAACTTCTATTTTACTTTACCAGTTTTAAAAGTATATTATGTTTCCAGAAGTTATCTAGTAACCGAATAAATTCACTCCATTATTGAGATCACGCTACCTGCCTATGTTAGCTGCTGAACTCACCCCACCCACCCAACAATAAAAGTATGGGCAAAATCATAGGCAGCTCAGCATCTGTATATGGTGCAATTAGCAGTCAGGTCTATTTTATTACGTAGTATTACTTGTGAGGAGCAGGTGTTGGTCCCAAATGATGGTGATAATCGACAGCAGGTAAAGATATGGTCAAAGTTCTTATGTTGTACTCCGTATGTAAGTTGAGTTAATTATATACGTAGTATCATCCATCCCTTGGGAGGGTGACTTTCTGAGCTGTATAGTGATCAGCTGTTGTTGTGGCAGCAATATTATGGCAAAACTCTTTTGTACTAATGAAAGAAAATGCTTTTTTTTTTGTAGCAACTGTACAGCTTCTTCAGCATAACTCTAGGGTGTTTGATCAGATCTCCACAAATCTCACTTCAAATCAGGCATATCTCTCTCTCAAGTTTTTTTCCCTTACAATCGCTTCATATGGATCTAGTTAGTTTACCATATGTTGTTCATATAGGTAGTTCTTAAAAGAAAAAGGTTACTCCCCTTTTCCACAAAGATAGGCCACAATTGAGTATTTTGGTCAAAGATGCTGAATTTTTACACATGTTTTTAACCAGCATATCTTGGTGAAAATAATATAAGTGTACTTTAATGAGCGTATTTTTAATGAATAGTGTATTTTCAATGATTCACATTAATATTGTAAATTAATTTGTATAAAATCATACTTTGTATTATTTATAAAGTGGCACCTCCATGGCTCCATATCAGAATATGCTCTGTGGGATGGACGCAATATATCGTTCTCTTGTTCTAGAAAAGATAGTTAGACATGAACTTTAGTACTGAACGTCATCAAAATAAAGTAGTAGGAATATATTGAGCTCTCCTGCAAATCAGAATATTCTTACACGAAACTCAAGTTTATAAAAGAAAGTTCCCCGGAGGCCCAGTTAGAGGTAGTTATTCTAAACACTAGTAGGAAGAATATATTGAATTATTGATTGATGCATGTGGCCCTTCTCAATATTCCTACATCATTAAACCCAACAAGTTTTTTGATAATCTTTAGTTATCTAAATCCATTTTTTTTCTTTTAAACATTGTTTCTTGCAGATACAGGACAACATTATTCTATTGCGTCATGCACGTGAAAATCTCTTCAGTGTATTAACCAAGTAAATATGGATAATATAGCCCCCCCCAATTCCATACATACCACAGCATGCCTTTTTCTTTGTTCCTTCCATTATTTGGCTACTAAAGTTGGAAGCTTGCCACCTCATAGAATCAGAATTTATTCTATTACTCCCTCCTGTCCCAAATTAAGGTTCATTCTTTCTTTAATGGAAAGAGTTGTGTGGTTTTTATTATTTCACTTACCTTTGAATAAATCTCAACCACATAATTAGAATGTCAAATTAAAAACCTTATTTTGGGATGAATGGAGTATTCTTTTTACTGTGGATTTGAAAATCTGATGTGCATGCAGCCTTAATGAGCAACAGAGTTTCATATCTCGGATGCCACCACTCCCGGTTGAGTTGAACGAGGAACTGGCTAATTCCATCCTTGCCCCTGCTTCCACTTGCTTCACGTGGAAGTGATTGCTCCTTGTTCATCGAAGTGATCGACTTGTTGGTCTGGGGAGAAAAAGCACCACCGGATTAAATTGGAGTAGCTTTGTGTAGGATATATACATTTACCATGGTAATTTACATATAAGTGCTCTTTGAGTCAAGCAGTTCAGTTTACAAGTATGTATAGCAGTAATAAACTTATCCAGAACCCTCCTCAGATAGAAGTAATCATCTAGTCTATTGTTGGAGAAGAAAAATGTACATGTAGGAGCATTATTTGAAGCAAGAAATATACACAATTCAGTCATGTTCCAATGACATGTACATTGATTCTTACAATTAATATTAATTTTGTGGGACAAAAATTATGATGGTGACAGTATTCCAATTATTGCCTATGGGTTTATGTTGAGGACATCATTCACTAGTCCTTGATTGCACCACCATACACATGAAAAATAACCCTATCTCCATAAATTATTGAAGTCCTTATAGCATTTTTATTTCTTTGCCACATGAAAGATTTATAATGTAAAACCCTGCTATTGCCCCCCCCCCCCCCCCCCCCTATTATTTATCATCTGCTTTTTCATTGTCCCCAGTATGGACTGGCTTGGGCCAGTTCCGGATATGCAAGATGGTCACCCATTACCAGGACCTGGGTTCCATGTACAAGCCTGGTCCCAAACCAGTTCCAATTTCAGATGCCGGTTCTTGTGCGATTTTTGCCTCATTAAAAATAATAACAACCGGGATGGTCTGTCTTGTTTGGTTTTGGACAAAGCATAATCATTTGAAGATTGGGCTGATACTGTGCATCATTTCTGGTAGGGGTTCAAAAAACAAGTCTCAATGGTAGGGTTTTTGAACTAGAACTGCAATGGGAATAAATTATCTTTAGTACTTGGGCAAGTTACATTTCAAGAATGGATACCCAATATCACTTGTGATTGTGAGGATGATATGAAGAGCTGCCCAATAGGGTGTGTTGGAAGTGCTATAACACAAAATTTAAAGTAAAAAGTCTAAGATTCTGAAAGGTATATCTTATAAAACATATAAATTGTCTTTCATTTAAAAAACATTTAAATATTGTAGTTTGAAAATGATGAGTAGCATTTTATTATAATACATGTAACATATTTCGAGACTAAAATTGTGCATAATCTGGACTACAAAGAGGCGTAAGTTAAGTTAGTAAAAAGATCAAAGACTTAAGATGGTTGAGGGGATACGTGCTTATTATAGAGAGAAAAGTAACAAAACATTTGATAATATAAATGACCCAGAGAATTAGACGACATTGTGAATGCATGAAATGTTTTCTTTCCTTTGTTTACTACATTATTATGTCAGTTATTTCGTTGTCAATCAAAAGTTGGGTCTCTTGTAATTCTATCAAGAAGAATTTGTTCTTTGAAAAACAAAGTAGAATTTGACTTTGAACTCAACTTTTGGAATAAAATTATATTCACACTCATTTCCAAAAAATTAATATGTACTCTTGTAAAACATGAAATAAAAAAAGAGTATGATAGTTCCATGCGATGGAAATCCATTAATTTTCCTTTTAAATGATGTAGATCATTCTCGTTTTACTTTCAAAAAACTTACAAGATATGTTTATGACACAAACAAAACATGCGGTGGGGATGCACATATTAATTTTCTTTGTTAATGCGATAAAAAACTCAATATCACACTTATATCTTACTCTCTTTGTCGCTTAAAATTTTGTAATTCTTTCTTTTTTTGTACAAAAAACTTTATCATTTTCTCTTTAAAACAATTTGTAGTACTTATCATTTCTCTTTCATCTAAAACGCAATTTTTATTTTATTATTTTGGATGCTAATTGAAGTACTAAACTTAACAAAATTTTGAGGGAAAAAAGGAATATTAAACAAAAAGGACATTGTGGTATTGACGTGGTCAACGCACGGTTTAGGGTTGGTTTGTAAATGCTTTAAAAAAGCACTTCTCAGTTTTTGGCTTAAAAACACTTATTTTATCAAACACTATCAACTTTTTTTTGTCGGCTTTCGTGTCAAAAGTGCTTTTGCTTTTTCTATTACACAAAAAACACTTATTTTACCAAACACTACTAACTTTTACTTTTCGAATCACTCTTTTCTCAAATACTATCAACTTTTATTTAATCATTTTTCCACATTTCATTAAAAAAAACCCACTTTTTTAAGGTGACAACTCCGACACCTTTCTAAAAACATGGGTACCGTACCTAGCATTCATTTGATTGGACCACATCATTTTATAAATTTTAATTTAGATTTAAATAATTCAACTATGCTCCATGTGAATAAAGATATGGTATATTATGAGTAACATAAGATACTCAATGAGCTGTTGCAAATAGGAATAGGACCGGTCTGGTAGATCAGCATTGAGCAGTGAGCGAGGACTGAACTCCTCATCTCTGTTTCTGGAGCTTCCTCAAGCTTTAGACTTTAGACCTAATAATGGAATCTTTCACCTCGTCGGCGGCAATGGCCCAAAAAACCTGGGAGATAGAGAACAACGTCGAGACAATGGAGTTGCCTCCAACGTCGGCCGACTCCTCCGCATCAGCGTCGTCGGACGCCATATTTTACTACGACGAGACTGCACAGACCAAGTTCCAACAGGAGAAGCCATGGACCAACGATCCACACTACTTCAAGCGCGTCAAGGTCTCCGCGCTTGCCCTCCTAAAGATGGTCGTACACGCGCGCTCCGGTGGCACCATCGAGGTTATGGGCCTTATGCAGGGTAAAACCGACGGCGACGCCATAATTGTCATGGATGCTTTTGCTCTCCCAGTCGAAGGCACTGAGACTAGGGTTAATGCCCAGGCCGATGCCTATGAGTACATGGTCGACTATTCCCAAACCAATAAACAGGTTAGGGTTGATTGTACGCAAAATTGTCTTTAAGATGCTTATATTGCCTTGAAGCGACATCATTAAAATGTATTATGAGTATAGGATGGTTTTTTGAAGTTTTACAGAGCGAAATGTATGGCTGTAATTCTGAATTTGTTAGAGTTGGACAAAGCATGGTGCCATATCCGTGATTCTAAGTCTTCAGATGAGTCGATTGGGGGTGTCAATAAGTGCATATTAATGTTCCAAACAAGGCTTCGTAGTTTTGGAGCAGTGCTTCAATCCTCACAATTGAACTATAATAAAATCTCATCAGGGTCAATGTTTTGTGTTACCTATTCTCCATCCTACATTGCTATGGAAACAAATAATTAGCTTCAACCTTTCTTTATACTGAATCACTTTATGTATCCTCTATTAGGGTGTTCCCAACAGAGAATTGAAGGATTTTTGAAGATTATAGTCTTTGGATTTTAAACCGGCTGATTTTACGTATTCCAAAAGAATTCTATGAGATTCATGAAAATCCGGGAGTAAGTGGCTGGATTGTGATAAGCATGTATTTATTGTTGTTTTAGGTTAGAAATCCATAAGACTATATATATGTGTGTGTGTTTGTATATATGTATATATAATTTCAATATTCTAGTGAATCCATAAAAAAATCTACTTAAAATTTAGGACGTTTTAATTTTAATGGTATGCACAAAATTCTTAATTGAGGACACCTGAATTCTTACTTTGCCAATTGTAAATTGGTGGTTCATACTTATTCCAAGTTACTTCTGATGGATAATGTTGTACTTTAACCCAAAAGCTTGGATTGGCACTTGGCAGGAATATGCTTCCATTGATTTTGGTATCTTTTTAGCTTTTATCTTAGTTTTGTTTTAGACAAGTGGTCTTGTGGTATTTACCTTTTTAGCTTTAATCTTACTAAGGGTTTTTGGTGGCATAGGCTGGTCGATTGGAGAATGTTGTCGGCTGGTATCATTCCCATCCTGGTTATGGATGCTGGCTGTCTGGTATTGATGTTTCTACGCAAATGCTAAACCAGCAATTTCAGGAACCCTTTCTGGCAGTAGTTATTGATCCAACAAGAACAGTCTCTGCTGGGAAAGTTGAGATTGGTGCGTTCAGAACATACCCAGAGGGATATAAGCCGCCAGATGAACCAGTCTCTGAGTATCAGACTATCCCCTTGAACAAAATTGAAGATTTTGGAGTGCACTGCAAACAGGTTATATGGCATTTTATATTTTTTGTCCACAATTTTCAATCGCAGTCCAAATAGAGGATAACATGACTCGTAATGTTTTCCCTTGACTGCAGTATTACTCTTTGGACATCACATACTTCAAATCCTCTTTGGACTCTCATCTTTTGGATCTTCTGTGGAATAAGTATTGGGTGAACACACTTTCTTCATCTCCTTTACTTGGTAATGGAGACTATGTTGCAGGACAGATTTCAGATCTTGGTAAGACCTATGAGGCTATGACTAATGTTTGCCACACACTTCCTGTACGACTCTTTCTATTGAAAGCATGCTTAGGTGTTGAACTTTGGTATGGGTTAGGCAAACTAATATAATATGTTTTTTGTAATGTAATGCAGCTGAAAAGTTAGAACAAGCTGAGAACCAACTATCCCATTCGAGATTTGGACCACTTATGGCTCCTTCACAAAGGAAAAGAGAGGTACTAGCATCGCTTCTTTTTTGAAGAAATGTGAAGTTAACTTGGAATTGCTGATTGAAATCTGCAATATTTTGATATGTTTCTTATAATCTCTTGGATATATGTGATGTTTTCCTAGAAATTATCTTTGGAGAACCCCCAAACTTTTACTCCTTCCTCCCTCAAAAGAGAATGCTCTTTCAAGAACCCCCCCCCCCCCCCCCCCACAAAAATAGTAGTTTAAAAGTCAATTGCTTCTAAGTTAAACTCTTTTAAAGAAAAGGCAAGTGGTTTCAGTGGATTAGGCTAAACAATCTTGGAAATAACTTTAAATGTCATAAGTGATCATAACTTCTAAAACCTTATACCTTGATTAAGTTTACTAAAAATGAATAGTTTGGTTTAACCCAGAAATTATTTTTGTTTCTGTTTTGGAGGGAACACTTAAGACTTTGGATTGAAGCATTCCATAAAGCATCCAATGGTGAAAGAAATTACAAAGTAGAATCTAAAACTAAATTGTCAAATACTCCACATTCAATCAGTCAGATCTGTGCTCAAAAGCCAAAGAGCTATTGAGCTTCTTAAAGCTTGAATAACATTACCCATTTGATAAATGACTAGTCCTTATGTTGGCCCTTTGCCCTAGCCTTCTGATAAGTTGTGGATTATTCTGATAAATTTGCCACCTTATCTCTGTTCCTTTACCTCTAATATACACCTCATCCTGATACTCTTTTTTGGTGGTATGGTAATTCACCTCACCAGCCACCATGGTTAGTGCTAAGCGTCATGGTAAAGTCTTTCCTGGAAACATGATTCTGAAATTTGTATTATGACAAGTATTTTATTCTTTTGTCAGAGTTCTTATCATCTAGGTTCCTGTTCTACTTTGACTCCTTTAGGAACTGTTTTTATTTTCTGCTCACCAAGAGCACTAGGTGTTCTGAGTAGGCCCCATCTGTAGGATGCTGCTTTAATCCCATACCATACCTAAACTAATCCCCTTCGCTAACAGATTGTCCACTTAAGTGGTAGCCGTGATGGTGTAAATGGTTTTGATTTCATCATTTTTTATTTGTCATTGATATTGACAGTGTAGCCAAAGATTCATTATTTTTTGGCTCGAGAATATGATGTAATAAAGCAAAATGGCTCACTAAACTGTCTGCGCTTCTTTGTTATGAAGCAACAGTCAGTCCATGCAATTTTGGACGCGATTTTCAATACGGGTCAAGTGTAGGCTGCGTACAGTCAGTCCATCCGGAAACAGTCTCTCTGTGCTTTAGTACAGGGGCAAGACTGCGTACATCCGACCCCCCCTTACCCCATCGTAGGTGGGAGCCTTTGCGGCACTGGGGTAAATGAAAATGATGAAAAATGATGAAATGATATTGACAGTGTAGGCTGGCTAGTCGCTTCAGTCGCCTAGACCCTAGTACACTGGCTTCTATTTTTAATCATTGATAAAGATTATCAATGGAAAGGAAAGGATGAAAGGAAAAGGCAGACAAACACCCCTCTTTCCCTCCCAATACACACGCACACACAAAATCTAACGGACCTAGTACTCTCTAGGATAACAGCATTTGCTCTCTTATTTTCCAGTTTCCATTTATCAATTTTCTTGTTTCATATTGTGTGCCATTCTACTCTTTGTCTGATACTCTAATCTGGATGGTTAATAATTTTTCATTTGAGTGCTTCGGCTATATGCTGTTGTCAGCTAATGATTTGAATGCTCTTGCTGCTTAACATTGCTGTGGGTGCAGGAGGAATCTCAACTTGCTAAGATTACTTGTGATAGTTCGAAGATAACAGTTGAGCAGGTTCATGGTCTTATGTCACAGGTATCTATACATTTGCATTTTGTTGTTGCTTATCTCCAGACTCTCTATTCATATCTTTATTACCTAGCCACCCTTGCATTTGAAATCTACAATGAGTTCATTGGATGGACATTGACAAAGTTGCCATTGTACGTCTTTAGGTTATCAAGGACATCCTTTTCAACACCGTACGTCAATCTAACGGATCTAGGACAGAGCCCTCTGGCCCGGAACCTATGGTTGAGGCGTGAACTTTATATAATCTCCCTCTGTCTTGTTCATTGGAAGTTTAGGTTTGTCGGTGGTCTCTGATATACTAGTTTGATTAGCAAAAGAATAGATACAAAACTGTAATCTAATGGCTTTTGACTGCTGAACTAGTCTCAATGTGCTTTTGAATGCGAGTAGATTTTGCCCTGCTGAACTAGATTCTTCATATGCCTTGTTATTATATACTTTAAACTCGTGGTTTTGATCTGGTGGAGTAATTACGCCACCTCCATAAATTCAACATAGCGGAAACATGTGATGCTTTTTCCATACGGAATTGGGTTAGGCTTTTTATAATTTTTTTGCCCATTGGTTTGGGCGGGCTCGTCCCGTCCCTAGGGATGGACTCGGGCCGGGCCAACCGGCCCGGAACCGGACCGGCCCACTACTGTGTGGGCCCGGACCGGCCCGGTGAACCGGTTCGGGCCCGGTTCGGGCCTCCCGGCCCGGTGGTAAAGCGGTCCGGGCCCGGGCCTCCAGTTTAGTGAACCGGCCGGGCCCGGTTCGGGCCGGAATTTAATTTTTTTTTTTTTGGGAATTTTTTTAAGTTTTGGGTTGGATTAGGTATTTTGGGCCATTTGAGGTGGTTTGGGAGGAGTAGGGGGTTAAATAAGAGAAGAAAAAAAAAATTAAAAATCCGGGTGGCCCGGCCCGGTCTGGCCCGGAACTGGACCCGGAACCGCCCACCACCGGTTCGGGCTCGGGCCTCATTTTTCTGAACCGAGGCCCGGCTGGGCCCAGGCCCGAATCGGAACCGGTCCACCCCTACCCGTCCCGCAAAAACAGGCCTAACCACATGTCCATGCCTGCCCGTAAGAGCAGACTGGGTAGTCCTCGCCAGGGCCGGTCCCGAAGAAATGTAGACCCTGTGCGAGAATAAAATTTGGGCCTTTTTTCAAGTTGCAACACAAGCAAATTGTCTTAAAATACAACTTACGAATAAATGTATTGATAAAAATAGTCATTAATAACTTACAATTTATTTAAAAAGAACATTCTTCAAACATATTTAGATTTACGCAGGGGAATTTTGGGCTGGGGCGTTATGCTAATTTTTTTTGGGCCCTTCAAAAATCCGGGCCCTGTGCAGTCGCACTGGGCAGCCATGCCCTGGGCCGGCCCTGGTCCTCGCGGCCCGGGAAAATGTTGAAATTTTCAAAATTATAAAAATTCCTTTGATATTTTTAAAATAAAATTACAACATTTAAAAATTTGCTAATGCACTTGTACGGAGTAATGTTTATAGGCACTGCATACACAAAAAATAATCATGAGAAACTATAAAAATAGATACTTCCTACTATATTGGGCGGGCTAGTTGTTACACTTTTATTGGCCAGAATGGGCCTAAACCCTATTCCAAGCCCGTCCATATGTTACTATGGGTCGGGGTCGACCCTGTGTGCACGCGCAATCAAGCCCGCCACCTGTGTGGGTGGACTAGGCTGGCCGGACCGGATCAAGTGCGACACACATGCTTTTAAAACGAGAAAAGAGACATTATTCATTAGATAAAATTGCAACTAGCTTACTATTGGAGGAACATGTGATGTTCCACCGGATCAAGTGCGACACACATTAGCAGAAGAGTTCTTGTTTCATTCATATCATTCAATATTAAACCTAAGGGTGGACTAGTAATCTTTGAATTAATACTCATCAAGACTGAAAGCATTCATTCCAACTTTCATATATTCAATAATCTGTTGTTTGATCCATCTTAAAGCCTCTCGAATTCACCGTGCTTGAACTTTTCCTGCTTCTCTTCAGCACCTAAGAAACGTTGTTGCTCCTTTAATACTGCTATGGATGAGACCGATGGTAATATATCTCCATAATTATTCATTTTCTAGTGGAAACAAGATTCAAAGTTGCCAAGCAAAGATGGTAGCTTGAAGAGGAAGAAACTTGTTTTTGAATAATAAAAATCAGTGGCTCAAGCATACAGGTGAACCCAGTGGCGGAACCAGGACTCGTGACTCGCAGGGGCACAATAACAAAGAAATCATATACTACGTACTACTCTAAAAAAATCATATGCATCACGAATATCACAATAAACCAAACTATAAAATTTAAATAAAATAACTACTTAAAGAGTACCTTAATTTTGATTAGAACCTGACGCGTCAAATGAAGGAGATTCATTGAGAGGCGGCAATCTTTGTCTTCGAGGGGTCATATTCTGAAATCGCTTCATAATGACTTCATTCTCAATTTTAACAAATACATCTTTTTCAATGTAACACATCAAACAATCTGTCAAGTATTCTTCTCCCATCTTGTTGCGCAAACCACCAACAATATCATCATCGGACAATTCAACTTCTATTCGAGCCTTTTTAACATTATTGTCCTTGTTAGTAATGACATTATCTGATGAAGAAACTAAATTATTCGATGAAGAACCACCAATGCTTGGCTGTTTAGGTTCCCGTGTATAATATCGTAACATAGCAATATTTTGTCAAACAACCTAGGCCAATTACAATTGAAATAATATGAGTATAATTGTATAAATTACATTATAACAAATTAACAACATTAACTAAATCAATAAATACACAATTATAAATTTACAATATAATTACCATTTTAATGAGATTATCAGTTATCACAACATAATTGCCAAAAACTTCAACACTGTATTTGAATTCAACATGTAAAAGTATTCAACAATTAACATTTTATTTGAATTAAACAAATACAATACAATACAATACAATACAATACAATACAATACAATACAATACAATACAATACAATACAATACAATACAATACAATACAATACAATACAATACAATACAATACAATACAATACAATACAATACAATACAATACAATACAATACAATACAATACAATACAATACAATACAATACAATACAATACAATACAATACAATACAATACAATACAATACAATACAATACAATACAATACAATACAATACAATACAATACAATACAATACAATACAATACAATACAATACAATACAATACAATACAATACAATACAATACAATACAATACAATACAATACAATACAATACAATACAATACAATACAATACAATACAATACAATACAATACAATACAATACAATACAATACAATACAATACAATACAATACAATACAATACAATACAATACAATACAATACAATACAATACAATACAATACAATACAATACAATACAATACAATACAATACAATACAATACAATACAATACAATACAATACAATACAACAACATCCAAGTCTTACTCCCAAAAGATATTGAGGTCGTTAACATGTATTGATACATGATATTACCACCAAAAGGCTTCTAGTTCCTACTCGCTGACTCGTTGTTGTGATTTGCTAACGTTGTAGCTTGAACGCAGTAGCTTGAAGCCTTGAACGTTGACTCGCTTTCAGTTTTCGTCTTTGTAGCTTGAACTTAGTTACGAGTTGGGACTTGGGGTCTTGGCGTTTTGGCTTTCGGGGAGTTGTGTTGTGGGCTGCCCCGGGAAAGGAATTGTGGGATTGGGCTGGCACAAGGGAAAGGGCTAAGGTAAAGGGCTTTTGGAATTAGGCTGCAGGGGCTCAACTAATTAAATATTAATATATGTATATATATGTTATATATATAAAAATTCACTGCAGGGGCACGAGCACCCCCCGGGCACTAGGCTGGTTCCGCCCCTTGGTGAACCCAACTTGCAACTCAAATGGAATCACTCTGAAACTCTTTATTTAAGAAAAGTGGTTTCTTTTATAATTTGAGATTTTGGGGTCTCAGTTTTACGCGTCTTCCCGTCAACTCAGATCTTGTGAAGTGTGAACCCTTGAATAGCTTTTGAGAAATACTAGAAAATAGACAAATAGATAAACACCTTTGTTGAGGTTTTATCCCTTCAACCCGAGGGTCCAACACGTTCCCTATGGTTTCGAGTGGTGAGTTTAGATGGATATGTGATGCAAGCAAGTAAGATGAGTCAAATAAGGAGTAGTAAGTGGGCCGTACCTTAGTAAATGATAATAAGGGTCCGTATACAGCACAATTCAACTACTAGCCACGAGACTGTTCGTCTATCTCAGTAAAGAAGAGATAAGATAATTGTTATATGCTAAGGATAATAAGTTGTCAACTCTTTACAATGAAATAAATGCTACTATTTATACTACCAAGGAGTATGTACTATGTAGCGCCGCTGACGTGGAGCCGGTGGAGGGTTGTGGATGGATAGCTTCCCCCTCCAATATCTTGGTTTCCCGCCAAGGCTGCGGACGAGCGTCCTCTAGATCTTAGGCCCTGAGGCCCTGATGCGTGCAAGGACCAAACTCCGTACGGCTTATGCATGCGCTTGGCTGATGACTCTGATATGCCTGGTCACCCTAGTTCGGACAAGGTAATTGAGGCCGAGCGTCCTCGGAGCATCCGACACTTTTCCTCCTAGCATCTTGATGGACCACGCTGATTGGGCTTTGGTGCTTTATTTGCCAATGGGTAATGAGCCGGCCCACGGTCGGGCCATTAACCCAACAACCTTAAATACACAAATTCTTCTATTGAATCACATAAACTATATCCCAGAATAATTAAAAATTGGTTTTAAAAATTAGAAGATAAAAAATTGATATGCCCATGTATATGTACACATGTGTGTGAGTGTGTGTGTGTTTGTGTATTATTCGTACAATCTACCTAGTACATTGGTCAAATTCTTTTTGGGATCTTAATGGAGGGGAAGACACCACATACTTCAAGAAAGGTCTCTCGCAATCACACTTCTAGTCTAGATGTAGCCTATTGTGTCCTCGATCTTGCAAGAATGAAGGGGAAGACACCACATACATTAAGAAAGGTCTCTCGCAATCACACTTCTAGTCGGAGGTTCCTCAAATTCTCTCCACTTCATTACCTGATTTCTACTCATTTAAGCAAGAATATATGTCACTCTATTCCGCTCTCTCATTATACAACAAATGATACAATTGTTTTCCAAGACAACTCTGACAAGCCTAACAATGTTGCGCGGAAGCGCTCCTAGCCTTGTTAGATATGAATAGAAATGTTTGAGCTTTAATGGAGTGCGTCAAAATTGTCTTTGGTGAAATACATGCACAAAAACTGAAAAATCTGTTATGTCTTAATCCTTATACGGAGTATTTTAAAGGAGTTTTAAAGACATGGAACTTATATATGATAATACGAAAATATGACAAGTAACTCAAATTCATATGAAAATATCAAAATGTCATTGTAGTGTAAACCATCATTATGGTTGTTATAGTCCCTTAAAAAAAACTCAACGTAGTTAATGTTTATTAAAGATTTACTTTTCTTCATATTTTTGGGTCATATAATCACGTACTATTTCATATTTCATGCGGTTAATAAATGGGAAGCCATCTATCTTTCCGAAGTCAAATTGGCCAAATCTATTTTTGGTCAATGTTCTTTCACTGGACTTTTGAGGTTTCGATCAGTTGGTTTTTGTTGACCTTTTGTACTGTATTCGTTCTTTTTATGTTGCACACAATCACACATGCCGTGGGGAAGTTTGTTAACACTTCCCCAAATCTAGGATTTTTATTTATTTATATCAATGATCAACTTGTTTGGAATATAATGTGGGAACTAATATCATAAATAAATATTTTTATTACTTTCATAATAGGAATAAGAGACACACAAGTTTTAACTTTAAAAAAAATTCTAAAAAACACATCACATATTTTTCATAGATATTATACAACTTTTCTTGATTGTGCTAGCTAGATGATCTAATATCTAATAATAAAAAGTTTTACAAGCTTCTCTATTTATAGGATCAAAACTGGGTAGGGGAAGCTAGGAAGAAAGTGTGTGAAAGTTTGGATGAAGCTTCAATGGTGGATGAAGATCCCTTGTCATTCATGAATATGGAGGAAGTTTCATCGATGTTGCTAGGAATTGAATCATTCACAACTTACTATTTATTTCTCCAAATAAGATTAAAGAATTGTAGTATTATATTTTCTCAAATAAGATGATGATTTTTTCTTTTACAATTCATTCACTACTAAAAAATACGAGTAATTTGAACTTCTTTTACTCTTTTATTATATATAAATGAGTCCAATTTTGAGAATAACACATAATTATCCATACTTGTGAACTTTGTCGGTGTTATTTCTATTTACAACAATTTCTTTTTTCTTTTCATATTTGTCTACCTTATCATTTTCTTCCCTATATATTCCCAACAATTTCTACAGAAGCATTGGTAAATTTCTCAGAATAAGCATTGCATACGCCAACCGCCAACCCATCAACTGTCAAATAATCTCAGCACCTTTGATTTTGGTCATTTAATTTTATAACAAAGACAAAACAGAAAAGGGAATATTAGTTCAGCAATTAACACATTGAAAAATAAAAGGAATTAAGGTATAGTTTCCTGCATGTGGAAGGATTGTTATATTTGAAATATGTTGTACTCCATCCATCCGTTCTTTATTAAGTGTCCCTTTAGACTTGAGCACATGTTTTAAGAGAAAAATAGTATGAACTATGAATAGTATGGAGTGTGTATGGTAAATAATAAAGTAGGAAAGAGAGTATATTAAGAAGAGTAAATTGATGATAAAGTAGGAAAGATTATTAAGATAGTATGTTAAAAGTAGGAGTAAAAGTAATAAAGGTGGGTGTTTATATAAAAAACTTTTCTAATATGGAAAGAAGGACAATTAATAAAAAAAAACACATGAAAATGGAATAAGAGACAATTATTAAAGAACATAGGGAGTATTTGCTAAGAAGCATACAAATCTATTAACTATTTCAAACTTCCTCTCTTAATCTAAAAACATTATAATAGTGAACACTATTTAGTTAGTACACTTGAATTATGTAGATCAATTTTAAGCATGAGGTATTGCACTATTTTATTAAATCATTGTACTTCTTTTTTTTAATGGACTTAAATAACCCTCTTCCGTTAGTTATTGAGAAGCTAGACCGTTAGATGACCATTAAATAAGCTCAAGTATTATTGATTGATTAATAAATATTCATTTGAGTGTTGTTTTAATATTTTGAATATTACATAATGGTTTACGTAATACAACTCGTATAGGTAAGTAAAGTCAAATATCTAAAATGTATTTCAATAATTTAAAAAGTTGATTGAGCATCTGCATCAAGCAATTCTTCCTTCTAAACGCATATTGTTTTTATATGCAATAATTACTAAACCCAAAAACTGAAATTGAATATGATAAATAATTGATATATAAAATAAAAAAAAATAGATATAACCCGGGTGAACTTGATGACAATTAAGACGGGTAAATAGAATAAATGGATTATATTAGAATATGTACGAATAAAGTTTGGCACAATAATTTTGATCAAGTATGTACTTCATCTTTTTTTTTGTTAGTGATCACAATATTTGTATGGAAAAATTATAAAATAAATGATCATGCATATATCTGTGTAACAAGACAAAAAATTGACGTTTTTAACAGTATATTGGGCCATTCTCGCTAGATCACACGCTAGTTCATTTATAAATTTGAAAAAAGTTAAAGTAATAAAGGTACGTAATTGGGTTTAACTTTTGAAGAAAAGTATTATTTGTGGTCTCTACTTTTCTTTGAAGTAGTTGGCCGGCTTTGAGAATGCTTATGAAAAGTTTGCCTGCATGCTCTGAATTTATACAAAAAAAATTAGACTCCAAATGGTGACCGTTTGTCGCAATTTTCCGATCATTTAGATGTTATGTGATGTACTTTTTTTACATATTTTTTAGGGGTGTGAGGTAAGCATCACAAATTTACATATGTAATTTAAATACCTAAATTTTATATAAAAAGTTTTTTTGGCACCATGGTCATATACTATTTCCTTAAAAAACGTTAGTTTTTTGTGTTAATTTCATAATTTAAAATATTTTGGCATTCATGAAGACACAATTAACATTCTAAACTTCCATTATAAATATAAATAATACCCCACTCCATATAATTGCAGCATTTTAAATTTGCTATTTTAAGTTATGCAATTAACACCACAAATTTACATTTTTGAAAGAAATAATATATGACCATGGTGCTAAAATAACTTTTTATATAAAATTTGGGGTATTTAAATTACTTATGCAAGTTTGGGGTGCTTACCTCACATTTCTTCAAAATTTGAGGTATTTTAATTATTATTTTTCTATTTTTTTTATCATTTATTGAACCGGTTCAACCATATTTACTTTTTGTGTTTCTAATTTATTATAGTATGTATTTCATTTTAAATATCAACGTCCTTGATTGAGATGAGATTCGAATTTGTGATCTCTTTCTTGAGAGTGTCACCGTGATGGCGTAATGTCATCATACTATGAAATACTTACCCCTCCGTTCCCGAAAAGTCTCCCCGATTGAACGTGGATCGAAGTTTAAGAAAGTGGGGATAAAGTAGAAATGTATGGTTGTGGTTGAGTGAGAAAAAAGTAAATGAATGGTAGCCATACAAACCTTTCCAAAAAGGGAAATGAGAAGAATTTTTTGGGATATCCCAAAAAAGGTAAGTTGGAAGAATTTTCAAGAACGGAAGGAACATACATTATCACACTTACATTAGGATTTTAAAAAAGAAACAATTAAACCCACATATTATGGCTTAAAAAGTTTATCACAATACCATATGAAATGGCTAATCAATTGCCAAAGGTGAAAAAGGAAGTTTCCCACCTAGCTACAACTCATTGCCAAAGCTCAAAGAGGCTTCATACAGTCATACGCTGCAAAAAATGTCATTTATAACGCTTGGTACAATTTCGTTATAAATTGTGTTCAACATTTATATATCTATATTTGAAAGATAACTTCATGGTATGACTTTGAATTTTTACCTTTCCCAGTCAGGTGTTGAAAGGCGGCTGGACTTTTCCCCCTTTCTCTGTATATGTAAATAGAAGTGCAAAGAGACATATATCTAATATCTTCTGTTGTGGGGTTTATTTCAGCTTCCCACCAAATTGTTCAGTTCTTGAGAAAAAAGCAGGCACACATTATTAACAGATAAAGTGATCATTCATACATCTTCGTCTGGTAAGTTTCTAACCATCTTTTAATTTTAGAATAAATATAAGTTAAAGTAACTTTCATTTGTGATAGATATAATGAAAATGATTATTTAAGCTTTGTATTGTTCATATATATAGAATGGGACTAACAAGGAACCACCCATTCTGCATACTGACAGGGGCCTGTATGCAAATACACTTTGTATCATACCTGCAATTGCTAAGAACTTTGGAGATTGAGTTTTGGTTTAATAATTAATGATGACTTGCAGGATTGAAGATGGGAAAGTTGACTATGTTGTCCCTCATTTTTATCCTATATGTTTTCATTGCCTTCAACTGCATTTCTTTAGAAGCCTTCAAGCTTGGACCAGGTCAAACTCAATAATATACTTACGATTGAACAATTCGTGTTTTACCGTCTTTCATTCACCTATCTTGTTCATTAAATGGAAACAATAACACTGCAGAAAGACAATTGATTGAAGTAAGAAATTCATCACAATCTGATGACACAGTTAGAGTTGATCCTTTGGACAGGTTGAAGAAATACAGAGGAGGCTATGATATTAGAAACAAACACTACTGGAGTGTGAGTTTTATTCTAAACTTATTTTCTATAAAAAATGACATTTATTCATGAGATTATGTACCCCTCTCTATTTTCATTTTCCACTTTTCCCTGAAGTGACTCCTTTATGTAGACACTTGTTTTCAAACGTTATGATTTGATTGTTTTGAGACGGTTTCGTTCAATTTTGGCACATCTTGATCAGTTTGGTCAGTTCAATTGGTTTTTGAAGCTTTAACTATAATTGTACATTGGATCGCTATGATTAGATCAGTTTAATTTTGATTGGTTTGATTTCGGTCATTTTTTTCGTTAACCACAGCAATAGAGTTATTCCTAGTAAGAATTGATATGTAAGCATGCCAACAATCTAATGATTAAAAAAGTGACAAAAGTATAAGTCACAAAGACTAAAAATGTAACATTTGGTGCAGTCAACTGTGTTTACAGGTAAATATGGCTATGCCATTGCAGTTGTGTGGCTCTTGTGTGGCTTCTTGTATGGACTCTTCCTTCTTGTAACCACATTTTGTTGCAAAAGAAGTAGAATGAAGCTGAGGAAGAGAGTCCCCTGTCAGAAGCAGTATTATCTTTGGCCTTTTACTTCTGCAATCTTCATCACAATCCTAGCAGTGTATGTCTCCAAGCCCTCCATTTTTTACTCTTATATACCCAAAATTCAATTTACTCCCTCTGTGCTAAACTAATGTACGAAATCATTATTGAAATGAATAAAAAAATCAGGATAGCGTCAGGTCTAGTTCTGGGAGGGAACACGAGGTTTCATCGGAGAGCGGATAGGGTTGTGGACATTATTATTGACACGGCAGATGGAGCATCAGACACCATATACAACACTACTCGGGCCATGAAAGAAATGAGTGCAGCTACTAGCGGAGGGGGAGGAGCCGCCGCTGAGGCTACTCGCTTCCTGACTTCGACCTCCAAGAGCCTCGACATTCGAGCTGCTGATATAGAAAGACAGGCCAGGAAACACCGTGAGGCCATAGAGATGGGCCTCAGGATTGTATACATAATCAATACTGTCATTGTTTCCCTTAATTTGGTTGCACTCATTGCCCTCTCAGGTGTGTTTATGTAGCTTTAATCATTTATAAGAGTAGATAAGTGTCTATTTAACAGTTCAATAATGCTAGGTCACTTACAGTACACATTTCTCCATCATTCACACATCTCACAATTCTTACACTTTTTGTACACACCTCACAATCTTTTGTATAGACAATTCTTATTTGTCAAGTTAGCTCAAAGTAAAAATAAGACACATCGGTGACGAAAGTTCGAATTCTATATGTACTCATAGAACAGTGTCTATGTAACTTTCTCACACACATTATTTGCCGGTGGGGAAAATTTATGTGATCAATGTAGGAGCTAATTTCACATTTATGTGAAGGTCTACAAAAGCTTTGTACAATGATACAAACGCCAGTTTCCTTTTATAATTAATAACAAAGTTAATGATCACTTTAAAAAGAGTACCTTTACGTTATTGAACGGCTAATTGAGAAGGTATGAAGTAGTTTATGTAGGGCATACAATGACTTAACACTCATGCACAGATTTTATTGCAGTGTGTGGAATCCTTAAATTCAGGAGGGCTCTATATTGGTAAGTATATGTAGGAATATATGATTAATCACCAATTCACCATACTTACCGCTGAAAAGAGAGACAAATGAAGTTTACATATGCTGTTTTTTTGTCTGAATCATTTTCATTATGTGTTGGCAGGCTAATTGTTCTTTGTTGGATACTTACAATACTTTGCTGGTTATTCTTTGGTATTTACTTCTTCATTAACAAGTATGCCCACCACCCTTTACTCCCTCCTCTTCATGTACTTTAATGTGAACATTTTATTATTGATCTGTCCCAGCCCACCCTTTACTCCTCCAGGCCCAGATATGTTCCTCTAGTGTTTTTAGAGACTAGATATTCGTATGAAAAACTGCTAAACAATGTAACATACTCCGTATTTTACCAGATTTGCAGGTGACACATGCGCAGCTTTTGAGAGTTTCCAACAAGATCCCTACAATAATAGTCTCAGCTTAATTCTTCCTTGCGACGAATTAGTTTCAGCAAGATCTGTCCTAGACGTTGTTAGCAGTGGCATTTATAGACTTGTCAACCAGGTGAGCAATACGACCAGTATATGGCATTTACATTGGTTGTTTTTTGGTAATCCTTTGAAGTTTACTTACACAGTTTCTGCAACTCTAAAACGTTTAGGTGAACAAAAATATAACCAAATCGTATGGAAATTTTGCACAACTCTGCCAGCCATTTTCAGGACCACCGGAGTATGCATACCGGCCAAATAACTGCCCGTCTAATGCAATTAGGATCGGAGCCATACCTCAGGTATGCTAAAACAATCTTTTCACCTCAACTTTATCATTATCATTAGCGCTGTTTGGTTCATGGGATATGAGATTAGACAGGGGGGGGATTATTGTTGGCTAGGATTATAAGTCTGCCTTAAGTTTTATACTCCGTTGTGATAGAACTTTGGCAAATTCTACTTGCCGGATAAGAAAGTACAAATTGTACACTTGAGATTTCTTCTGAAAAGAGAACATTATTAACCAAATGGTTGTTAAGTGAGAATGTGACAGTCTTTTTTGGAAGGGCGGAATAAGAAATGTTAGCAAAGTTTAGTACTGCGTAGTATGGAAGGAGTATTACTTAATTGCCAATCATCGAGAACAAACTCTGTATTAATCTACAATATTTCTCTATACCACCATAGATTTACAATACCTAAGAAAACAGAGGCAATCTCATATTCCCTCTTTGCTTTATATCCACAACATGGTAATATTGCATCATTGAGGCAATTAGGTTGCAAGAATAGACAAGGTTATGTTGTGTTACCTCTAATCAATTACCTCAGAAGTATCACATTCTGGGAACCTAAACATGTTCTTTTTTATTACAATTTCGTGATATACCAAATTAACAATTATTGCATTATTTATTTTTTGAAGTTATTGAGCATGTTGACTTGTACTGATCCTGACTGCATCGGAGGAATTTTGATATCTGTGAGTGACTTTAACGCAATAAAAGCTTACACAATATCAATTCAGAACATACTGAATGTTTACCCAGGAATGGAGAGGTTGGTCGAATGTGAAACAGTGAAAGATGCATTTTCTGACATTCTTGAAAATCACTGCAAACCTTTAAAGAGGAATGCACATTTAGTATGGGGAGCACTGCTTTTCCTTTCAGTGGTAATGGTGGCTCTGGTGGTAATTTGGGCTGTTATCGTTGCCCAAGAGCAAACCCATCATGGATCCCATGATGGTTCTGTGAACCCACATCATGGGGAAGATCAGGAATTTGGAGTAGCTTCAACCGAAGATGCCATTGAATCAATTGGTTCAGACAACAGAATTGCATAATATTGCATAATATAGGTGTCCACTTATCTCTAGCTAGGAGGCTATAAGCATAGTGAATCAGCATTATGGTTTCATTTGGTAAGGTGTATTAGGCTTAGTGTGGAACGGAATCAGCCCAGCTCCAGAACGGCCATAATTGGGACCAGACTGGAATCGTTCCAACCCAGATCTGCCTCCTTCAGAATTCAACCAGGCCGGTTAGGTTCCATTCCTGGTTATTTGTTTAATTGGTCTGGAGCTTCAATCAGATCTGACCCGGAATCCTTGGTCACAGTTGCGGGTGGTGGCAGGAGCCTGGGAACCAGAGCTGACCCGGGTCCACCCCTAATTTGGCTCAAGGTTATAGTTGCAATTTTCGGAAAAGGATAATGAGCCAATGTATACCGAACCAAATAGAGCCCATATTGTACGTGTGCAGCCAGAGAATGGAATATATTGTAGCTTTGCAACAATCCAATAAAATGTATAGTGAATCCAAACATTCTTTTTCGCTTTTGTCTTTTTGTACCAAAAATTGGAATCGAGTATAGAGAATTAGAGAAGACATACAAACACATTCTAGCCCTTATATGAAATAAAAGACATGTATGTAACAAGCCAACAGTGGACATGAACTCCTGAATGGAAAAATATTTCATTTAATGTATGTTTTGTAGAGCTGAGTATGGTCCGAGATAAACGAATTTCACCTATCCTCACACCCAACCGGATTTGAAATATAGGACATCAAAGGCATATAAACAAGCCAACTATGAGGTGGACAACCCCCTGAGCCCAGAATGGCAAAACATTTCATGTAATGATATGTATCAATGATGGGCTCAAGGATGATCAGTCTTTGCAAGTGTTAACCAATGATTTAGAATTCATTTTACAAACTAAAATACAGTGATACAAAAATAAAAAGATTTGACGCTAAATAGAAAATACCAAAACCTTCATACACCAATTTTGTATTGTTTTTCTATGTAGAAGTACTATAGGGGCAAGGCAAAAAGAAACAACTTTTTTCTTTCTAAAGACATACTATACTAAGGGTGCATTTATACTGATCAATCAATGAATTCTTGTACCAATACAAGGGTAATGTCTACACTGCATTAGTGGTAAGAGAAAATGCCAAACCTTCTTCAATTCCAGAGGTTATAGTATAAAAGACCAAAAAACATACATACCTTCTCTGCTTAAGGAAAAGACTAGGAAGACAAAACAGCATCACCCTGTTTTCATTATTAGTTGGAAAGAGACAGAGAAGTTCCAAGAGAAGATCCAGGAGAAGAAATCATTTTACAAGACCAGTTGCAAATGGAGTACTAGTAATTTTGCTACTTAACAACAATCTCTGAAAAGGAACAATGATTAAGGTTATGTTCTTCACTTCTAATTGCCTCCTTCCTGCAAAAGGAGCAGTACCTCAAATAAAGTGCAGTTTCTTTCAACACTCATCTTCTACTCATGTGAAATCATGCAATTATCCAATTATCACACTAAAATTGAAACTTCAACTGAAGATACAGTTTTTTTCGAAGCACCCAAACTGAAAGTTCGTACCTGGTGATGTTGGTCATGATCTTGAAGAGCTGTTTCGAGATTCGAAACTCTACCCTTCAAGGAGCCGAATTTTCCTTCAATCTTTCACCCAAAAATGGAAACGAAAGGATAAAAAGTAATCGAGAATGAATTAAAATCGAATGAGCACCAACATTACACGTATATATTGAGCGTGAGGGGTTGGGATTTCGGATGTGTCTGAATGGATTGGGCAAAGTACCTCAGAAGAGATAGAGCGGCGATCAACAAGCAGATCCCTGGCAACGAATTGAGCTATCAGCGCCGAGACGGAGGTGAAGCCCAGTGTAAACCACAAAAACCTTGTTCTCATCATCCTTCTTCTTTCGCCTTCTGTTTCCTCTCTGTTTGCTAATGGAGTTTTCAATTTTCCTGCGTCTTTACCTCTATTTCAGTTGCTGGTAGGAAAAACCCAACCAAAATCCCAAACGGATTCTGACCCGATCCGTTTTAATCGGTTTGAATAAAAACCGGACCGAACCCATAAATTCGGGCTCATAAGTTGGCCCTAAAATCTATAATTCGGCCCGGGCCAATAAAACCTAAAACAATTAATCTTAGGGAAAAGTGAAAACTGTCAAATATGTTCACCTACTTTCAACAAAAAAATCAATTGAATCCACATAGGAGTATTTTTTAACGAGTAAATGAAGTCCACAAAGACGAAGTAATAAAAATGACCAAATCGGCTATTTATCGGGTAAGCAAATAGTTACCCAGTTAAATTAGGGGTGAGATCGGTCCAGTTTGGGTCGTGTTTTTGTTAAATCCGGAAATTATCCGTAGGGTCTCGGGTTATAAAAATTAGGGATTAGAACAAAGATCATTTATTCGGTCCGAGTCGTGCTTTTGTCTAATACATATACCTTATTTAATTATTGTCCAAATATATGTTCCGCTTTGTCTTAAGAACCTTTCAACGGGACAGAAATAGTAATATTTTGAAAAAAACCTATATTCTTCATTTGTATACATCTTAAACAAAATATTAAGATAATTATCTTTTTGGATTTGAATTGCTGGCGATTTTAGATACTAATATTTGTGTTATTATTTGCGGTTTATATTTTTTATCAATTACATTTGAAAATAAGTTTTAAAATACAAAAAGAGATAGTGGGCCCTTTTGTATTTTTAAAACTTATTTGGGATAAAAAAATAAGCCCATTATTTCCGAACTTTAACCGGCCCAATTCGAACCTAGATCGGAGTTGGGCTGCAAAACAATCCATTCCGACTGAAGATAATGGGCTTTGTATGTGGTTCCTAATTTTCAGTCATTATGTTTAAAAACACTGACGTAGATACTACGTACTAAATACTCCGTAGTTAGTAGGGGTGGGGAAAAATACCGAAATTTCGGTTTACCGGACTTATCAAATTGAAAAATACCGAATTTACTGGAATGTTTGGTATACCGACACTTTTGGTACGGTATGGTACCATACCGAATTACTTCGGTACGGTATTGGTATATATTTTGAAAATAAAAGGTATACCGGTATACCGTCATACCGTAATTTCATTCCAATAATTTCCTTAAAATTATAAAAGTAACTAGAAACACAACATTAATTCAAGGATAAATGGCTTTATATCCATGTTTCTTGAATTATTTATACATTTTGTTGGAGATCGGTGTTACTTTAATTTTATTTATGTTGTTTAAATTATTTTATCAGAATATGTTGTTATTTTCATGTATCATGTGTTGAAATATCTATACATATTTATAATATTTTTTGTTCAAAGTTGAATAGAACACAAATAGGTTATCTCATTGGTATTTTATAATTCAAATTTTAGTATATCACTATTAACACTAATTTTCTTTATTTCATTTGACATATAATAATTTGTTATATTAAATCATGATAATTTACCGATACCGTACCTTACCGTACCGAAATTTCGGTATATCGAAACAAGTTATACCGAAATTTCGGTACGGTAACATATTTTTGCATACCGAAAGTTTACGGTATGATTATGGTATTCGATAAAATATTCGGTATACCGTACAGAACCAGTATGGAATTTGCCTGGTGCACATTTCGTTTCACTTATTCAACGAAGGATGAGTTATGACTTGTGAGGAGCAAAATTGCAGACTTGGTGAAGATGGATAACGAGAAGAATAGTTCGGAGTCTTTGAAAGGGCCGCCGTCTCCTGGGAGACATCCAATCCAACTCCAGCAGTGCATAGAAGAGCTTCTGAGGTACACGATTGCTTCATCCGTCGCCGGCAATCTCGAAGCAGACATTGGCCTCTCCGATGACTTCTGCGCCAATCTATTGAAAGGAGACTCTTCCAATCCCACAGGTCAAAACCGTCTTCTCTACCCCCACGGCTCGTGATTTTCCTGATGACCTGATATATGTTGTAAGCCTTTGTACACCGTGCCTTATTTGCTGTACAATCTTTGCATATTTCAGCTCCTTTGTACAAAACTGTAGCTGCCTCATTATACCAGTTTATATCATCTGGAAGTATAATCAGGTCAGATAGTGAGGCTATGGAGATGAACAAAACGTGTTCTTTGAAACGGGAAGAAGAAGAGTTCGATTTTAAGTTGGTGAGAGAAAAAGGATGTGAGTTGCTCAATGTAAGCACGGTTATGATCAGGGCCGGTAAATTCATCTTGCTGTTCAAAATATTTTTTGGGTGGAAATTATTTTTTGAAGGAGCGAAAATTATTTTTCGCATATAAATACACTAAAAAAAATTTGTTGAGGAGGCCGTAGCCCTCTGGGTCTCTGGTACGGTCCGCCCCTGGCTATGATATGTTCTTTTCTTTTCCTTTTTCATATCTTGATTTCATTTATATCCTGAAATCATATCACTATATCAGCGTTTTCGTTTTCATAATGCAGATGCTGGAAACCACGGACTTTGAACTTCATGTTCAGGAGCCCTTTTTCACATATCTTAAAAGTATTTATGAAGCATCTACTTTTGGATACATAAATGTGCTCAAATGTTTCTTGTATTTGACTATTCTTGTTATTTGATGGCACCATTTTCTTGTATGTTTTTTCCTCACTGTTAAAAAATTGAAAGGTGGAGACAAAACCATTGAAGGAAGGTGTGCTACCGATCAATACAAAAAGTAAGATTGTGCCTCATCACTTGCACGCATAACTTGACCTCACAGAGTTTGCATGTCAATTGCCAAATGTAAAGTTCTCCTACTTGATGGTGCATATTAGTTTGTGAATGAAGAAAAGTAAAGAAAAAAGTTGTCTCATTTGTACCCAATTATGAAGTCACTCATAACCACTTTGTACCCAATTATGAAGTCACTCATAACCAAGTTGTACCCAGCAATGGGTCATTTATGAGTTTCTCATCGTGATCTGTTTTGGTGTTAAGAATTGAAGTTGGAGCGTCAATCCTTTTCAACAAATGTTTACTTCTTCAGGTTCAGGTGAAAATGCTAGTCACAGATTTTATTTCTGATCACAGATATTATCATTACGCATATGCAACAATGATAATTTGCAGAAGTAAATTTCAGGATCTTCATTATTATGCTTCATTTCGTGAGATGCTTGAAGCAGAGCCTCTCTGTAAAGTACTTCCAGGAGTTGAAACCACAGAAGAAGGTAACTGAAATATAATTTTTTCTAGGTGAAATTATCATGTTCTGATATCTTATGTTGCCATTTACAAGTAGTAATGTAGTAAGTCTCATGACAGGACTATAATGATGCTCTAAGGATGTTGGTTTTCACTATTTCGCATTTATCCCCAAAAACAATATTTTCATTAGCATATATTATACATTTTTCAGCTATCTACCCCCCCCCCCCCCAAAAAAAAAATCTAGTTGCAGTCTCTCACAGTCCCTTTTTCTGCAATGTCAAAACGGCTGTAGAGTCGCTCTTTTTAAATAGTACTCCCTCCTCCCAACTTAAGGTTCTCACTTTCCTTTTATGGACGTCCCAGCAAAAGGTTCTCATTTCTATTTTAGGAAATAATTAGCACTCTTAAATGACAATTTAATCATTAAATATTAAAAATAATAAATCTATAATATCTCAGTTATCATCAATGGCCCCTTTATATTATATACCCATTAAAACTATTTCTCAAAATATACTCAAATTATGTTATTTAATTATTGTCTAAATAACCATGTCATTTTACAATGGGACCTTAAGCCAGAACGGAGGTAGTACTTCGTACTATTACATAGTCCTACTTTTACATACTCCGTATATTTGTCATGTTGGGTTCCTTGTCATATTCCCATTTTGTTCTACATTTTCTTTTAATTTTTAATCTTTCAGGGGATTGATGGCTTGTTTTTCACTCTTATTTGAGTTATTTCTATCCAACTGCAACCTTGTAAAACTTGTTAACCAGTATTCCGTTCATTAAGTGGCAACTCATAATGTGTTATTTAGTTAATTTGTTCTACATCAGCTCTAAAATGTTTGTGAGGACTTAAATCAAAGAGAGTGTTCGATCAGTGATTATTAACTCAATACTTTACGACGTGAAATTTTCAGGAGTTCAAGTTTATAGAAATTTCTACTCAGAGGAGAAGGAAATGTCAAATGGTGTTCTTGCTATATGCGTCAAGAAACCAATGTGGCAGCCTTATCTCTCAATGGCCTCAATAATATCGGTAATTATACCATATATTCAACTGCTGTTAAAAATGTAGTAATAAACTGCCATTCTGGCAAGCACAGGTGAACTTCACATGGCGTTCATGATAACTTTTAATTTCACAGATTCACTTGTTGGATGCATTCAGTGATGTGTGTGTATTTGTAATGAGAAATGTTATACGAGTATATACAACCAATTTGTATAACACACTGTAAAACAAGTTTCTTTGTACAACAGACAAGATTTATGTTAACAAGGTCAAGAGATACTCTTGTCATTGTGATTTTATGTTGTGAGACAGAGAGCAAAAAAATTGTTGGTAATGGGTATTGGTATTTTCTTCTTCTTTCTAGACATAAAATCAAACTCATTTTTTCTCTATGGAAAAAGTCATGTATGATGGAATTGTAAATGTTTTAGAATGTTTTTTCTTTAGTTCAAGTATACTGTATTTATTAGCTCATGGCAATATGGTCTTACCGCAACTTTGAAAGTTCATTCAGGATTTAAGCCTCGGAGGCCTTCAGAGCCTACTAGATGTTTACACATAGGTCGGAACAATGCTGATGAATGCAGCCCCGACGTCATTCTAAAACGGCTAATCATATCATATCTGTTGCAGTTTTGCCTCATAAACCTCCTTTCTGTGTTTGCTTTGTTGGATAGACTAGGCTAATTCCTATGTATTTTATGTATAAAAACTACAATATGAGCCAAGCCTGCTGTACCGGATTGAGTTTTAAGTAATACTCCATACATTGTTTTGTAGCAATTTTTATTTATATTTCAGAAATAAATGAGAAGGGGACAAAGTAAGAGGGGCTAGGCCGAAACCTCTTATGAAAGGCATCCCTTTCAGCAATACAAAGTTAAAGTACTTGAAGCGTAAATGAAGAAAAGAAACTCAATTACGGGATTAAATAAACGCAACCTATAGAATCCAAATAAACCGCCCCTTAATCTTTCTTGGAACCTCCCAAAGGGCTGTGAAACTGTTGCATGCATGTATATGAATGTCACCTTGAGCTAATCCGATTGCAGCCAAGTTGGATTAAAGATGGACCGGGACCAGGACCGGGCTGGGCTCCGGGCCGTGACTGGGCGGGCTTGGGACTAAAAATTTCAGGCTCGGTACCGGCCCGGGTTTGTACCGGGAGTCCGGGATTGGGCCGGGTCGGGCCTAAACAGTACCGGGTCAGAACCGAGCCGAGATGGGTCTGAGCAATAAATTAGAAAAAGTGTAATCGGTAAAAAAAACGAGCCCGAGGCCCGCCCTTATAGCCACCGGGCCAGGCTCCAGGCCTAAACTGGGCCGGGCCGATCTGTCCCAGTCCATCCCTAGGTTGGATTCTTTGAACGCCATTTATATTTCACATTATTGGTAAAATGCAAGCATGACTTAAGCAAGGGTTCCAGATTCCAGTGGGGTGACCTTTGCTCTTTTATCACAGTTATGAGTCCTTGAGAATGGGATTCTACTTCCAATTTTGTAATTCCCAGTCTCATACTCCATGCAAGTAACATGTAAAGGGATTTGAGTTCCGCTTCAAACTCAGAGCTGCTATGAGAGATCCAACATGATTCCTTACCATAAACAACGTTGTCAATCTTCGTTTATACTCCATATTGGGACATAGACTCAAATAGGACTAAGAAAAACGTCAGGAACGTAAATAGGAGTTACGTAAATAGGAACGTAAAACCTAAATAAGACTACTTTTAGACGTACGGACAAAAATACCCTTGAGATGTCGTTGTCCGCATATGATGTTGTCGAACACATTCATTCATGCCTCGCCGTCAATGATATTCAGAATTTCAGATCTTTGAGGACCGGTTATATGATTTATGTCATTCTCGTCAGGCACAGGTCACCGCCACTACATCCACTGCTGCTCTGCCGCTGGTGGTCACCGATGCATGTTACTTCCGCTCTACCGCCGCTGCTTTACCGCTGCTCTGCCACTGGTGGTCATCCAGTGGTGCCGACAAGATTCCTCTTCTTCTTCCTTTTCCTTTTTCTTCTTTGCCCGGTGCAAGTCTCCCATGTTTCTAAATTTTATCGGATTTCTTCTATACCCTGCAATACCTCTTTGAACGTTTTTGTTATTGTTTGACTTTTCAATTCCTCATTCTTTTGGCTTTCAGATTCTTCGCAGATATCTCTTCATACGTTTGTTATTGTTTTTGCTTTTTTTTTTTTTAATTTTGCAAATATATATTTAAGTTAGTTTCTAGCAATTATTTAATTATTTATTTTTGAGAAAGAATTATTAATAATAAGATAATAAATATAATGACATTGTTCGCAATTCAATACATTATTAATGACATTATCTTTATTTTGTTAGATTTTATTGCATTATTTTGGATAGTCAAATAGAATTACATTGTCCAACTTTATTAAAAGGGGAAAACAATGTCTTATTAAAATGTCATGTTAAAATAAAGTCAAATTTATTGAAATTTGATGTCACAATTTATTCATTTATGGTTATAAAATTTTCATTATAGGCGACAAACCTCTGCAGGCCTAAAATGTCAATGTCACTAAAATGTCATAATGTCACAATGTCAAATTTTGAAGATGTCAATGATATAAAAATGTCATTATGACAATTACAGCGTCAATGACAATGTGGCGACCATGTCAATGCTATACAGATGACATTGTAATAATCACAATTTCAATGACTATCCTAAAAATGTCAATGTTCACTCCTAATAAAATTGACATTGTTAAAGACAACATCGGTGCTATCAAAAGTGAAAGTGTATATACAGGGGAAAAAATTGTTTTCTAGGGAAGACCAAAAAAATGTGCCAATATTGACTTAATTTATTAACATTTTTATTACTAACAACATGACATTGTGATATTTGGACATTATGATATTGTGACATTGCAATATTGTGACATTGTATATTACATTGTGACATTGAGATATTAATATTGTGACACTATCAAGAAGTGACATTATTTCGCTGATCAAATCGAGATATTGTAAGTTTGTAACATCATCATGCCATTGTAAAAAGATGAAAATATCAGAAAACTATCAAAATGTCAAAAAATTGTCACAATGTCAAATAATGACAATGTCAATCCATTATTTATTGTATCATGACATTGACAATGGAATCGAATTCCACAATTGTATCAGTCACTTTCACATTGTGAATTCTGTTGTTATATTAAAAATATTGTCATTAATGAAAACTGATGGAGTTATGGGACTAGGCCCAAAGCCTAATCGGCCCAAGCCCCGAACTTGGACCCGTGGATCCAGCCAGGTCCACAGCCTGGAGCCTGCCTACCATCCCAACGGGGAGCCTGTCAGTCCGGCCGACCTGCCATCCAGGAAAAGTAACGGTCAAACAATTAATGCGCTGTTTAATTATGTATTTAATTCCGTATTAATGTTGTAATTAATTAGTCATTATTATCGGTAGCGGTTACGAATTGTATACGCCTATAAAAGACACGTTGTAATTCAAACTATGGGGGGCGATTTCATAAGCTATTCTAGGCAACTAAAATTCCTAAGCAACTTTCCATTCTCGTATTATCTTCTTGGTTCCTGTTCGAGTGTTCTTACGTAGCTTTCGAAAAAGCCTACGAACGTCCTATTTTGGACTAACAAAAACAAATGTTACACTTTATTAAAATCATTTATCAACAATAATGTATTAAATCCTTTCAAAAAAAAACAATAATGTATTAATATCAATGTCATTGTAAAATGAATGATAATGTATATTTAAATGTGACATTTGAATAAAATAATAATGTGAGCTTCTATCTCCGATGACATTGACACATCAAAGCCAACATTACAGGGCTAAATGGTTAAAATAAATTAGTGAAATAATAATAAAAAATTAATGCACATTAAAAATAAATGAAACAAAATTACAAGTTGGTAAAGTAAAACAGAAAAAGAACAACAAGACAAAAAGGAAATACAACAGCAGCGAACAAACAAAAGATGGAAGAAGAAACAGAGCATTTACAGATGAGAAGGAGAAGCGAGAGAAAACTGCGGCAACAGGAGAAAAGAAGAAGACGAATCATCTTTAAAACTTTGACCAATCATACATATTTATTGAAAAATATTAGAATTGTCTATACAATGACGTTACCACAACACTTGAAATTGACATTGTCAATTACTAGATTCCAATGATAATATAAATAACATAAGAATACAATTACTGGTCATATAGTTTGTGCAATAATTCCAATTGCATAACACCATCAATGGCATCATTTTTATAAAAAAGCATCATCACTAATGTATTATAATGTTATATATTATAATTTTATAGGAAAACATCATTTCATTGCATGAAGAAAAAATAAAATACGAAGTTAAAAAGGAAAAATAAAATGACAATGTTAACACAAGTTACGAACAATGTCATTATAAAAAATATGACATTGTCTATTCTCTTGACATTGTCATTGTTAAAATTAAAATTATGATAATGTCATTACTATGGCAATTACACTAATCATTTATCAACAATAAGATAATGTCGATATCATTGTAAAATAGAGTATAGGGAAAAGGTACATATATACCTCTGTAGTATAGGTGGAGGAACGAATATACACTCGTTCTATTTTTCGGAACAAATATACCCCTAAACCTTTAAAAAGGTGCAAAAACATCCCTCATTTTTTATAAAGGAGCAAATTAATCCTTATTGACTTTAAATTAATCAAATAAATTTCAAAAAAGACTAAAAATAAATTAATAACTTGAAATTAAAAAATAAAAATTTTAAAAATGTAATTTTGTCCATTTCTCCCTTTATTGTTTTTATATCACAATTTAATATTTTAAGTATAAAATATTATTTCAAAATATGTAATTTTATAGTGCAAAGAATGCAAAAAATTAATTTTTCTCTACATTGCAAAACATATGTTGCACCCTTTCGAAAGAATCTAAAACATATAGTAAAATTTTGAAATAATATTTCATGCTTAAACAATATTAAATTGTGATATAAAAATCTATAAAAGGGAGAATTAGACACTATTACATTTTTAAAATTTTTTGTTTTTAAATTTCAAATTTATAATTTATATTTGCTGTTTTTTGAAATTTATTTTATTAATTTAAAGTCAATAAGGATTCATTTCCCCCTTTATAAGAACATGAGAGATATTTTTGCACCTTTTTAAAAGTTTAGGAGTATATTTGTTCCAAAAAACAGAACAAGAGTATTTCTGCTCCCACACCCATATTAGAGGGGTATATTTGTACCTTTTCCCATAGAGTATATGGCAATGTATAATATTGAAATGTTGAAAAAACATTGAGATTTAAATAAAACAAATCCAAATCCAAATCTGAGATGATGTCACAAAATAAATTAAAGAAATAATTATTTAAAAATTTAACATAACAACCAAGAAAAACGAAAAGTAAAAACCAAGCTCCAAAAGGAGAAGCACGTACGACTCATACAACCTGCAAAAAGTTCCAGATCCAAATGGGCTACCGGATCGGGCGAAGCACATACAAGTGATACAACCGAAAAAACTTCCTAAGCCAAAAGGCTAGCTACCAGATCCGGCGAAGCACGTACAAACGGAAAAAATACCAGATCCAAAAGGGTAGCTACTAGATCGGCCGGAAGAGAAGATGAGAAGAGAAAAACAAGGTGGAAGAAGGAGAGGTGGAGTAGGAGAAAGAGAGATTTCTGCCGGCGTCCACCGATGTGAGCGGAATAGATGCGGCGGCGATACTTTGCGCCAGATTCACCGTCACAGACCTCCCCCACGTCATCTCCGGCGATATTTGCAGCGGTGGAATTCATATCCTGAAGTCTATAGTACTAAGCTACTTGCAGGAGCGGCCTATG